GCTCATGTTCTGCCCAACCTTGGCTTTGGTCTCGACTTATTTCGCCAAGAACCGTGGCATCGCTATTGGGATCGTTGCCTCGGGTTCTGCGACAGGGGGTCTGGTCTTCCCGGCTGTTATCATGAAGATGCTGCCCCAGGTCGGATATGGGTGGACAATACGGACGCTGGGCTTTATCTCGGTAGCCACGCTGACTCCCTGTGTGCTGTTCCTCAAGCAGCGTCTTCCTCCACGCAAGAGTGGTCCGATTGTCGAGTGGGCTGCCTTCACCGAGCTGCCCTACCTGCTGTTTGCGATTGGCATGTTCATGAACTTCTGGGGCCTGTATGTTGGCTTTTTCTACATTGGCAGTTTCAGTCGTAACATCATCGGCGTGTCAAGCGATCGATCCATTCATTTGCTCCTGGTCATGAATGGAATCGGATTGGTTGGGCGATTGGTCCCCAACCTGCTTGCTGATCAATTCACCGGTCCTCTCAACCTGTTGATCCCGTTCAGTTTCGCGACGGCCTTGGTTGGCTACTGTTGGGCGGCAGTTAGCGGTATGTCCGGGCTGTGGACATTTGCCGCATTTTATGGCCTCTTTGCTGCGGGTATTCAATCGTTGTTCCCAGCGACCCTCAGCACCCTGACGACTGATATGAAGAAGATCGGTGTACGCATGGGCATGGTGCTCAGCGTGGTGGCAGTGGCGGCTCTTATAGGGTCTCCTATTGCTGGTGAGCTAGTTGTTCGCGACGATGGCAACTACCTGTATGCCCAAATGTTCATGGGATCTGCGATCTTCCTTGGTGGATTGACGTTGATTGGGGCTCGAGTGACCAAAGTGGGCACTGGTCTGGCTCGAGTTTGAAAATAAGATAATATAAGATAGATGTTATGTATTTAGGGATATATAAGATATAATGATAATGATATATCCTATGCATGGATGTGGTATGTTGTAGGTCTAACAAATCCACGAGTTGTGGTTTGACGAGAAGAAAATGTCCCCACATGTGATTAATGCGAGCGCGGTGACTCGCGACTCTTGACTCTGAACTCGTTCTCTCCCAATTTTTGTATTATTTTCACAACATTCGAAGTCTTTACAATACTTTGCATATTATCCAAGTAAGTTGTTCTTTTTTGATTCTATGGCGCAGGAACTGTGAAGCGACACCCCACCTTTGCCCCTCCATTGTGTGCGAAGCCCCCCTCAATGAAAACCCGCTAACTCGTTCTCGATATAGAGATATAGACATAGGTATTACTTGAGCCTCGTTTTAAAGTTCTCAAATATTTTCTACATATCAATATGGCGCCCCGTGGTCGTGGAGGAAAGTTTTCCAAGCCCACTCGAGGAGGTATGTCGTGTGCGCCTGCAGAGCACGAGATACTTGAAGCTGATCAGACGATGAATAGGTGGCAAGCACTTCAGCAGAGATCTTCAGCCATTAGACAAGGATGGTAACCAAATGGGTCTTTGGCGGGTAAGTGGATTTCAACCCCAATCAACTCAACTTCTACAGCAACCTGACCCAGACCTCTCTCTCATAGGAGCCTGGTGAGCAAATCAAGTCATCGGGCGACGAAGATTCTTCGTCCGAAGAGGAAAGCTCTGAGGAATCCAGCGAGGACGAGTCCAAGCCCACCGAGTCATCCACAGCTGCAGGAAGCCGCGAGGAGCGCCGCGCAGCTGCCAAAGCCAAGAAGGCAGCCGCATTGAAGAAGCGAGGCCAAGGACCCGCCCAACCGGGCGACTTGCCCCCTTCAGACTCGGAAGAATCCGACAACGAGCTCCCCGCCAACCCCAACCACACTGCCAAGTCCCGCTCGCAGACCCTGAAGGCCGTCGAAGAGCCCACCGCTGAGCCCAAGAAGCCCGCCAAGGTCAAGGATATCTCGCAGTTGTCCCGACGCGAGCGTGAGGCCGTCCAGGCCCAGCAGGCCCGTGAGCGTTACCAAAAGCTGCACGCCGAGGGTAAGACCGACGAGGCGAAGTCGGATCTGGCTCGTCTCGCCGTTATCCGTGAGCAGCGTGAGACGGAGCGTCTGCGCAAGTTGGCTGAGAAGGAGGAGAAGGATGAGCAAGCTAAGGAGCGTGCTGATGCCGCTCAGGAGCGGGAGGATCGTATGCGCGCTGCAGCTTCGGGAAAGACTGCTAAGAAAGTTGGTGGAAAGAAGAAATAAGCTGGATTTCGTTTTATATGTGGTCATGACTTGGGTCGAATTGTTGTTGGTTACAAATCTAGACAACAAAAAAACAAAGCAAACAGTCGAGATACTCCTCACATTGGATATCTGGAATCAGACAGTAGAAGATATGCCCAATCATGTAAATTGAAATCATGTACACGGACGCCCCAATAGCATTAGATAAACACCTCATTTCTGGGCTGGCTTTTCTGGGAATGCGTAAGCCGGTCAAAAAAAAAAAAAAAAAGACATTTCAAGTTTCGTACACGGGATTGAAATCCCAGGGAGAAGACATAGCCAAGAAAAAATGTCTATTTGGGGGAAGCTTGCTACTTCACACGCCCCAGAACAACCCTTCAACGCTGCGGCCTTGCATGACAATGCCCCAACCGGCAATCAGGCTGACTAGCCACATAACGGCGAATATGAGGATGGGCACAAGCAGAAGTTCTGTGTTGTGCAAGAAGGGGAGAGCATTGTACCCCAGGAATGTGATGTAGGTGTAGTAAATGAGAGCAGAGAGGTAGAGCGAGTTTCCGAGGAAAGTAGCCAGGAAATTACTTGGGCTACGGGTGAGGAGTGGTAGAAGGAGGAACTGCACCACGTAGAGATGGAGATAGAGAGGAAAGAAGGCCCGGTTGGACACCTATACAAGGGCAGTGTCAGAAGGTTAGAGATTCCACGGGATTTGTGGCAAGGAGTCTTACATCAAAACAATATCCAAACTCCAATTGCTCCTTCTCCCCTGGCTGCGTAAACAAGCCCTGAGCGGCACCTCGTCTTCGGCCACGGGAGCCCCGCAGGCCAGCCAGAGAGGCGGCAGCTCCGTTCGGACCGAATAGACGGCCAATGATAAAGTATCCAATTGTTGAGACGAGCAGTGACGAGCCGATGAAATGCACAAACACGAAGAGGAAGGTGAGGCGTATGATTGCGCCGAAGCCCGGCGTATAAGCGAGGCCCCATGCGAAGGCTGTGAGGAGGAGGAAAAATGATAGTAGGTAGGTGAATGACGGATCAGGCCGGTGCCATGTGTTTTTGGTTTCTGCTCGAAGGCGTCAATAGTGTTCGGCTAGGTCGATGGATAATTGGCGTTGCCAAGGTTGTATGTGCTTGTTCGACCGAGGCATGAGCTGAACTTGGAATAAGTAGACTCACGTTTCTAGATCCGGTGGTGTGGTCAGAATAGTTCGAGGGCCAGTTAGGGTAGTCAAAAGACCACTTACATGGTAGTATATCGATTTGAAGACCTTCTTGGGTGCGATCAACAACGAGGTCATCTCCCAAATGGCCATCTCAAAGTCCATTTGTGGAAATTTGAAGAGCCTGTTCCATATCAGTGATTGTCTCTCGCGTCGAGGTTCTTTGGTCCTACCTCTTGAAGAAGCGCGGCATGCGGACGCTCGACCGGGTTGCGGGTGTTGAGCCGAAGTTGGCAGGGCCGGCATGTTGGCGGGGGACGGAGATGTGAGGGTTCATGATCTTAGACCCCGTTTTCGAGAAGGGAAATCGGTCTCGGAGCATACACAATGCAGTCCGGTTGTTGTACGTGTGTCCGATGCAAGTTGGGCCCGGTTATGTCATCTTAGTCACGTGTTGTGTATTATTCTCGGTCATTTATTATTTGATTTTTACTCTACATAACTAGTATACATGGTTAGTATAGTTAGTTAACATAGTACATAACATGCAGAGTATATAAGTTTTAGTTTCCAATATACAAATACTTCGTACATCATACTCTCTTCTACTCGAGTTTAAAGTCTAGATAGATCTGAACTCATTTATATTCTGAACAAGTGTCATTCCCGCTGGAAAAGTTTCCTCTCCTGAGAATCCACTCTGCAAGGGGCTAAAGGATAGTCAAGATAGTCAAGATGGTTAATACGTAGTTAACCATGAGGGAGATATTGTACGGAGTACGGAGTACTCCGTGTAAGTCTGGGATTCACTTATATCTGTTAATGTACATATAGTCATCTGCCTAAATGTCTATATAGTCTACTTCTCCATTTACGGATGTCAACATCCGATAATACAAAGTAGCTCCATCCCCCCACTGCTCCACTTGGGTACTTTTGGCCTATACAACATATGGTATAACTATATTGACTTGAAGGGATGATAAGGCAGAAAATGATGATATATTGTATAATATGCATACAACATACTCCTTACTACTCGGTAGTAGGACCTAAGCTTAAAAGCATCTTCTTAACTAATAGTTAGTTATGAAGTTAATACAATGTATGAAACCCCTGAATGTGTGTGTTGGCAGATCCTGGCTAAAACCCAAGTAATTTCCCCTGGCACATGTGTTTCTATTCAGTTTCCTCATATGTTGCAATCTCCCTCATTTAACACTATATATCTCTCATATTTATATATGTATTCAAAAAAAACCAAAAACCAAAAAAAAAGGACAGTCCCACAGTTCGGAGATACTTTGAAAGTTCCCGCCAAACCTCTCTCAGGAGTTCGTTCCACCCCGGTTTCTTGTCTCTTTGCATTGCTCGGCCCTGTTGCCAACATTCCTTTTTTTTTTTTTTTGTTCTTTTTTACATCCCTTGCTTTGCGGGACAATGACCAAGTGAACTACTTTTCAATCCGTCAAATCGGATACTGCAGGTCGAGACCACCAGTTTCTCCAGACCCAAATCAGCTTTGTGAGACCTACAAGATATCTGGTATGTTGTAGCAAACCTAGCACTGGCTCCCAATTCCCTTGGATCCCTTCAACTATCACAATGATACTGCCCTTCGCCTCGTGTGGGAATTGATCAGCCCAAGACAGGCAATAATTAACTCCTGTTAGCGCAATAATGTCCCAGCAACGGGAAGCGTACTCTCCTCCCCATACACCTCCCTCCCAAACCGCGAGATACAATCCCTCCAAGCGTGCATACCCAGCTCGACCATCCATCCGTGATGCTTTCCCGGAAGCCATGGATAATCCCACGAGAACCAGTGAGTCGGGAGATGATCGAGACCCGCATGATCTGTCTCTATCCCCGCAACATGCTACACGGACGTCAATCGTCGACAACATGCTTCTTTCGCTTGATCAATTCGCCCCTAGTTCGTCTGTTCTAGACGACTACCGGCTTTTCAACTCCGCCTTTGAAACCGACCATCACAGTCATTACTCGCAAGAATCTGATTCGCACGGCCGGTACCGCGGACACACATTCTCCTCGTCAATGTCCTCAGAACCAGACTACGGATACGAAGATGGGAATGGTCGCTACGCAACAATCACGGCGACCAAGGGCCGGCGCAGCAACAGCAGTTCTAATCACCAGACGACACCGAGGCAGATGGGAAGCTCGCGCGGTGGTACCGGAACCATGCCACGAACAAACACTGCCCGAAAAGGCAGCAAAGGAAGCTCATCCTCCACCGCGGATTACTCATACACAATCCCCAGAGCACGAGCGGATCAAGGCTTGGGCCGACGCTCAGCCAGCTTCGACTGTGGACCAAAACGAGCGTTCGCACCTTATGCTGATTCCAGTGTCGACCAGGACTCGACACTGTACGACGATCACGATGCTGCACCCACCCCGAGTGTCCCGGCAGGACCGCGAAAAGTTCACGATTATAGTAGGACACCAACAATTGCTGCCGCGCGGACACCGGTAGCATCGCGACGGAACAGTATGAAATCTGCTCATGCCCCTCAGGTTCGAAAGGTTCGGCCTGAAAACATCGGCACGGGGACTCTTAGAGCTCGGGACAACGACTTCCAAAATATGGATGATACGGATCTTGACCCCCCTCCGGCCATCACGGCTTCGTTGGACCCTCCTGCTCCTAGCCCGACCATCTCCTATAACAAGCCGGCTTTTCCTCCCCCAGAACCAACGGCAACTACCACGATCTCGACCAACAACTCCACCACCGTCTCCACCAATCATCCTGCTCCAAGTACAAAAGAACGCCCAGGTTTCTTCCGACGTGTCTTCGGATCTAAGAATCCAGCCCCTGGACCGGCAGATGCAGCAAGTATAAACGCCAACGATCTGTCACACCTACAAGAAACCGAGAGCAGAGAAACGAATGGGACAACTGCCAGCCCAAAGGCAGGACCTCAGCAGGCAGCCAAGAGCTCTGCAGGTGTTTCTCCGTCCTCGATTCGCACAGGACCCCATCAGGTCGTGAACAAGAAATCTTCGTTCTTCCGTAGAAGGAAGAGATCAGTGCCTGATCACGCTCCTCCACCAATTGTAATTCCTCAACATCTTGCACCACAGACTATGGATACTATAGCGGCTCCGAGTCCTGTGAGCAGCCTGCGGCAGGTCATGAATCCTTACCTCGATGAGGAATTGGACCGGAAAGAAAATGCGGACTGGGAGGCCAAGATTCGACAACCGGCATTTTTGCAGGCGCAGAAGAAAAGAGAAAGTGTTTCAGCTCCTGGAGCTCCCAAAATGAAGACTTCTCTTCAGCCCTCTGCTGCCTCTCGTGCTCAGGACCTCTCGCCCCTTGCACAGAAGGATCGATCTCCGAATGGCGAAATCTCCACAGACTTTGCTTTGCAGGAGAAGTCTCAGAATGTTGCTGCCTCTGCTACTCTGTCCCCCGTTGTGGAGGATTTCTCGCGCAACATCAAATCACAGGTCGATGTTCCTCAAATCAATGTAGCCAGATTGGGGCTTCCATCTGAGGACAGAGTTTGCGAATCTCCTGTTGATTCTATATCGACAGCATCAAACTATCAGACCGCTGCGAACACCCCACTCATTGAGCAGGAAGAGTCTCAACCAGCTGATGACACCGAGGGTCAGACAGATGGACCTGGCGAAGCTATTGAAGATGGACCCACAGCTGCAGACCGAGAACAAGCTCAAAGGCTCTTTGACAGCCAGGATCAGGTGGTGGGTAACGAGCCTGCTGCCGCTTGGCTGGGTGACCCTGATCGGGCAATGGTTCGCGAAGCATATATGCGACTGTATAACTGGTCTAATCTCAACATTGTTGCCTCTCTTCGGGCTCTTTGTGATCGCTTGGTGCTCAAGGGAGAAACCCAACAAGTGGATCGAGTGCTGGATGCATTTTCGACCAGATGGTGTGATTGCAACCCGAGCCATGGCTTCAAAGCTACTGATGTTGTCCATACCATTTGCTATTCTATTCTTCTACTTAATACTGATCTGCACTTGGCTGACATCGATTCAAAGATGACCAAATCCCAATTCGTTCGAAATACCATGCCCACTATCCACCGAGTGGCAATGGATGCCGCACCGGAAGGATTTGAGACTTTGCGTCCAATCAACCGCTCCAAGACCCAACCCCATGAAGCGCACTCTGCCCCTACATCGGCACGCTCCGCAACTTTCCCCTCAGAGGTCGCCCACAGCTCGTTTGACAAAGATGGCGATGCCAATGTTGATGCTGGGCCTTTGGTTAACACGCCATTCACCGGAACAGTGAGAGCCTGGGAGCAACAGGTTGAAGCGGTACTCAAGGAATTCTACACATCCATCCAAAAGCAAAGACTGCCTCTGTTCGGTGCCCAACCAGAACGTGAAGTATCTCGCATGTCGTCCAACAACTTTTTGGGCCCCTCTAGCGGTACACTTCGCAGGAGTCCAAGCACAATTAGCAAGAGTGGTTCCGATATCTTCCCTCGCGGTCGTTCAGCCAATTCAAGCCATGGAGCTGCGCGATGGTCATCCAAACCCCGCTCCCGAGCTGGAAGGCTTTATCCTCCTTCGATGATGGGCTCCAGCCGTACCAGCCTAGACGACCAATCATCCGTCTGGAGTCCGACTGGGTCCAGTACATGGAGTAAATATTCCTTGGGCAAGTTCACTTCAGCGTCTGTGGACTCTTTTGGCTCGGACTTCCCTCGCGGCGAATACCAACAATCTATTGGTTTTGCCAATGCTCTGAGTCAGGCCATCATTCGGGAGGACTCTGCTCCCTCAGTATACAGCTATGAGGAGCCTGAGCGAACGACCCCGCTGCTTGAAGACGACACGTTGGCTCTAGCCGGAGCCCCGTGGGCCAAGGAGGGAAGCCTAAAGCACAAGCATCACCTAGATGCGGTGGACAAACGGGCGAAGGACCGAAACTGGAATGACTGTTTTGCGGTTATACAGCAAGGCTGGATGCGTCTTTTCTCGTTCAATAACTCTACTAAGTCGATGCGACAAAAGGCTAAACAGCCTGGAGGGGTTATAGTTGGTGGTGGCAACTGGACGGAAAATGCAGAAGAGCTTTGGAAGTTCATGCTGCGCCAAACCATCGCCAGTGCCTTACCATCGCCTGGATACTCCAAGTCTCGTCCTCATGTCTGGGCCCTGAGCTTGCCCACTGGGGCGGTTCATCTCTTCCAAGCTGGAACGCCTGAGATTGTCCGAGAATTCGTCTCCACAGCCAACTACTGGAGCGCGCGATTGTCCAAGCAACCACTGGTAGGAGGAATCAGCAACATCGAATATGGATGGAGTGACAGTGTCATTAACAGCGCGCTGATCGGCGGTGAAAGTCGATCCCCGCCGCCTTCGTCGGGCGCACGACCGAGTATTCAAAGCTCCATCAGAAGCTCCATGGATCATCAGGGTGTGCGACCCCGACTTCCCGCGGATCGGGTCAACATCAGTGACTGGAGCCCACCGCAGCAAAGCATGGTCGCCTCCAATCTGACCGAGGAGGAACAGTGGAAGGCCCTACAGGCCTACGTGCAGAACGTGGAAGCTGATCTCTCTCGCCACAATGAGCTGCGTTCCGCGATGAACCTTGCATTCTCTCCACGCCACCCCAACGCCGCTAAAGCCATGGCAAACTGGGAACGGAAATCTTCGTATCTGTTGCGTGAGATTGTTAAGTTCCGCACGTATATCGACTCCCTCCGCAACGCCATCGGCTCTAAAGAGAGAATTTTCGCTTCAACCAACCACTCCCAGGAGGGCGAAGAAGCAACCATGGAGCCTACGGAGGCTGCAGCATAATTGCACACTCTTCCTCTCCTCGACTTCGAACGCACCGGCTGTAAATACGCTTTTGGCTTGGGGAGACTCCGCGTCAAAAGTGACCTGATACTGACATCTTGGTCCTTATTTTTTAATTTTTTCATTGTGACTTTTGTTTGATACAAGCTTGTCTAGTATACCTCTTTCCTTTTAATGTTCTGTGATGGCGTGGATTACTGATTATTCCGTTTAATGCTTGGGACGGTGATGTGATGCTATGGATACCATGATTGTCGTTTTTTTAAACATATGAATATCATCGATTTGTATACATATTTCCTTGAATGTTGTTCCTTGAATGTTGTTCCTTGTGTACGTATAGGTTAGTCATATACGCGTAGCATTAATGTATTTGGTATGGATAGTGCGTGGAAATACCACTATGTGATTGTGCCTGGCCGTGTCCATACTGTTGTATCCAAGCATCACGCATCTATGCGAAATGCTCTCGCCAGATGACTTTCGAATATATTCGAATTGCAAGTTAGACCCTCATTTTCACTTCTCGACTTGAATATTACAATAGGTCCATCTCTCTCTCTCAATCTTCTCAACTTTTGATACATCAAAATACCACAATGATCGCTCATTCGCCGATCGAAGCGGGTAACGAGATGCAGGGAGTGGATACCCAAACACTGGGCGTCATCTCCCCCGTTACAACAGTGCGCACCCCCTCTGTGTCGGCATTCCAGACGCCAGATCAGACCTTGAATGATCTCAGTTCAGAATACTTTATGGCAGAGGACGCACCGGGGGGTCTCCCTCCCAACTCGGTTACACAGTCCCAATCCGAATACGCGCAAACAACTCCTTCGGAGCCGGATCATGAAGACCAAGACCATGAAGGCCATGAAGACCCTGAATTTACCATGACATCGACCCAACTAGATCTGGACGACCACAGCTTTATTCCTTCCTCGGTCGACCGCGACGAGAGCAGTCTATTCCATCCATCGAGCGAAAATGGCGACCACGAACGCGGTAATAATCAAACCCTAATCGAAGAGCACGAAATGCGTCGCAAACTGATGGACATCGAGTCGAGCTTTCTGCCGGAACCTTCAACAATTGACGTGGCTGCGACCGGTCCTGCTGCTGGCGCGGATGATACGTACCTAGTTGGGGTTCCAAAGAATGACGCCGCAGACATAACGCAGGACTCCTCACAGCTCTCATTCATAGAACCAGCTGAAACAAACCCGATGGAAGGCGAGGAACACAGCGAGGAGGAGCAGTCGAATACGAATTTGGACTCGGCACCTGGCCCTGCGGAACAACATGCGGATAATTCCTTGCTTGACTCCCTCTCCTCGTCACCTACGGCAGCTGCAGCGCTGCGCCGAAATCAATCCACATTGTCCGAGAATGCGCGAGAAACCAGCCAGATCTCCCAGGATGAGCGCCCCTTCAGATCTGAATTTTCCATGGCCGAGAACGAATCGCAACTCACTCCCTCGAAGCTTCGAAACACCTCCCGCAGCCTCTCGCCCGGTGCGTCGCACCTATTTAGTGACCAGAGTGGCAGTGCGACTGGTAGTCGTAGAGCTAGCCGACCCAAATACTTGACTAGCCGACAATCAGCTCATCGTCTCTCACACTCCTCGGTCGCAAGTAACAACACTGAAACAACCAACAGCGATGCCACACTGGGCGCGGACTATGCCCTTCAAACTGGAGGCGCAACTTCTGACAACTATGGAAGTTTGCACGCTGGAAGTCGTGCGCAGATTGCCAGGACAACCAGTCTCGGCAGCATGGCATCTGGAATATCCGGGTATAGCGAAGAAAATCCACTTGACAAAAGAAACACGCCTGGTCCAATGGACGGCGGCCTACATACGCTGGAGGAGGAAGTCTCACCACATTCTCGTGCCAGTCCTGTTGACCAGGAAGACACTTCAACACCGGTGACACCCAAGGCGAAGCCACAAGACGGCAATGTTCCTACTGATACAACAATTGCCGAGCGAGTTAAGGGCATTCAAATTCCTACTACCTTTGCACAACGGTTCCGGGAAGACTTCCAAGTGTCCCCGGAGAAGCGTTTGGGGGCCTCGACCCCTGCGTTTGCGAAAAGTGGCCGGAACTTGACCCTCAAGGAACAGAGCAGCACCATTGATCGCTTGGCGAAGGAGAACTTTGACCTGAAAATGCGAATCCACTTTCTTAATGAGGCGTTGAATAAGCGATCCGAGGAAGGCATCAAGGAGATGATCTCGGAGAATGTTGAGCTCAAATCAGATAAGGTCAAGCTCTCAAAGGACAATCAAAGCCTCAGACGCAAGATCCGGGACTTGGAAAAGCAAGTGAAAGACCATCAGTCCGACAAGGATTCTATGGTCAATCATGACCCCGAAGGATCAGAGGACGGTGATCGCGACTCGGCCCAAGACGAAGAGATCGTCTTCCTACGCGAACGGGTTGAAACCTATGAACTCGAGATTGAGCGCATGAGGTCGGAAACCATTGCACGGGAAAGTGAGAAGCGACGGTTGGCCGAGATGGTCAAGTCGCTCAGCGATAATCGTGCCGGAGAGTCCGACGCAGGTGCGAGAGAAGAGCGAGTAAGTCAGTCGAACACAATCAATTAGATCCAAGCTAATCAGCTATGCAGGAGATGTGGAAGGATATGCTTGACGCAGAGACCTCAGCGCGAGAGCAAGCCGAGGAAGAAAATCGAAGACTTCGGGATGAGTCCATTCGTTTGCGGAGTGAGATGTATTCTGCCACCAAGCCCGGCCAATACGACTCTCTTTCATACACGTCTGATAGAGATGGCAACCGAGCTCCTAGCGTTCCCAACAGCACGCTTGTTGTAGAGCTGGGGCTCCTTAAACAGGAGAACGCAGAACTAAGAAAAGAAGTTAGTGCCCAGACTTCAATGCTCACATCTCGCAACCGAGAAAAGGAACGTCTTTATCAAGAGATCGAAGAATTGAAGCTCGGCGAACGTCGTCATGTTGGCCGATCCATAGCTGGAGATAGTATCTTCGACCGTTCCGCCTCACGCACTCATGTCCGACCATCGTCTCAGGCTAGCGATGGCACGGGCATGTCACGCAGCGACATGGACCGCGATGAACTCGAAGCCCGGAATGGACAACTCCGGGACTTAGTGTCGACTCTCAAGCTTGAGAATCAAGCCATCCGAGCCGAACTTGAGGACTATATTGGGGAACTAGAGGCTCTTGACAAAGCATACCAGGCTGATGTTGACCAAGCCGAAGAAGAGATGCAAAACCTACAGCAAGAACGAGACCAGGCCGTGCATATGGCGAACGAACGAGATGCCGCTTTCCAGGACCTGCGGGCCGAGGCGCAGGAAGAGTTGGATACACTTGGGGACGAACTCGACCAGAAGATTGTTGAGTGCCAGCGCATGAACGAGGACCTGAGAAACCAGGATGAAAACCTCAGGGTTTTGCAGGCCGAAATGCGGTCTGCCAGCGAAGGCATCATTCGTCTCGAGGAAGATGCACAGAACAACCTGGCCGCATATAAGTCTGTGCAGCAAGAGCTTGAGGAGACCAATCGAGAGATGGAGTCTATGGAGAAGAGCCTATTTGAGGCTAACACCAAGGTGCAGCGGCTGACGGTGCAGATCGAGTCGAGCCAGAATGAGATTGCTTTCCTTCGCGAAGAGCAAGACGGCGATAAGATCCGCATCGGAGACCTCGAGTCGGATCTCAAGAACTACCACATGAGTTTGGTCAGTGAAAAAGAGAAGACTAGAGAACTCGAGCAGCGACTGGCAGATGAACGTCACCAGCGAGAAGTGGTGGGAAGCAAGGAGAAGCAAGATGTCCAGCGTATCATGAATGAACTGAACCGCGAAGCTTCAGCTTCCAAGGAGGAGGTCCGACGTCTGAAGAAGAGCCTTTCAGCCCAAGAGATTGAAACCTCCACCTGGCGAGAACGGTTGATGGACCTCGAAAACAATTTGAGAGAAACTCTGGGTGATCTTAGCGGCAGTCGGTCTAGCTTGATCACCAATATCATGAAGCTGCAAAAGGAACTCGAGTCGACCGCCCTTGACTTGGAGAGCATCCGCTCGCAGCTAGACGAGAAAGAATCTCTGCTTCGGAACCGTGACGCACTGCTCGAAAGTCATGGGCTTGAGTCACGCAAACTCTCGGAACTCTTGGATCGCGAACGACACGCGCGCCGAGCCGACAAGCAGTCGTTTGAGTCGTCGCTGAAATCTCATCAGCAGGCATCCCGGACCATTACGCAAAGCAATTCCCGTATCACAGATCTGGAAAAAGCGCGGACCGAGGACCGCAAACGATACGCATCGCTGGAACAGCAATTTAAGGACCAGCTTAGCGAGAGGAACATCATGTTCCTTAACATTTGGAAAAGAATATCTGGGCTTTGCGGGCCGGACTGGGCGCACTCCAACAGTCTTATTAACGGCAATCTTCCGAGCCAGGAGGTCATTGGTAATATTTTGTTCTGGCCGGGCTTCAGCCGCAACCTTCTGCTTGCAATGAAGACTGTCGAGGCCGTGATGGCGGGTTTCAAGACTCGCATCAAGAACATCGACCATGAGTTGACCAAGCGTTATCACACGCTTGAGCTATCATATAACGGACGGATCAAGAAGCTCGAGCGCCTCGAAGAGGCTCTGAAAAACATTCGATCCGGTCGTGGACAGTCGAGCTCCACGCCGGAGATATCTAAATTGCGTGGCGAGAACCGTCTGCTGAAGGCTGAACTCAACTTGCTTCAATCCAACTCGCGAGGACAGGGTCCTGCGTCTGCGGCTGCAGTCATGGCATCGGGACCCCGATCCCCTTCTTTGGCGTCGACAGCAGAGTCGGAACGATCCTTAGGGCGTTCAAGCTCTACGGCTGGCACTGAAAGACCTCGCCCCGAGAAAGGCATCGCTCGCAGCGTTACAGGGCTTCCGCAGCCCTCTCACTCCTCTTCTAACAGCCCATTGACCAACAACAATGCTGGAACGATGATAGCACGCACGCGCAGCTCGCACAGTGGCTGGGATGGTGGCGATGAGAAATGGATTCACAGGCTGCATGAGCTAGAGAGGCGACTCAAATCTGAACGTGAAGGTCGCCTCCTAGACCGCAGTGGCGCTCGCAAGCGACTTGAGGAGCGCGATGCTGAGAACCAGAAACTTCGAGATCAGCTCAGCCGGGAACGTACGCGGCGCGGACCCTCGGGGACCATTACAGATAACGGCAGTCGCAGTCGCCCTCCTGTCTCAGATGAGGCTCCCAGCTCCAGTGAAGGGGAGGGCATCACCGTCGACATCGAAGTTTGATTTTGTCGGTTTTCTCCTGTACTATATATACCCACCTTCTGTTTGTGTTTCGCTTCCCCATTACACTTATCGCATATGTTTGTAATGATCATTCACGAGGGTCATGAGAACGAGGAAAGGCGTTTTATTTTATCTTATTCGGGGTTACAACATCTTGTTGAGGGATTGTTGGGGTTTTTTTTGTGCATTTTATTTTTGTTTCGTTGTACTTTATACACGTCCATATGCTCTATCAAGACAAATCCAAACGTTGTATGATACATTCCAATCTACCGCAACGATACCTTAAGCGAGAAATCCACGATCCCCGTACCCTGGTGGATCGAGCTGGTAGACAAGATATCGATATCGGCACAGACATACGCCGGCGCGTTCTCTTCCGTCAATCCACCACTCACCTCAATCAAGAAAGTCTTCTTCGAAGCCCATTCGCGCTTCAGCTGCGCCGCAGCCTCCCGCACCCCCTCGGGCGTAAAATTATCCAACATAATGATATCGGCCCCAGCCCCAATCGCCGCATTAGCCTCCTCCACACTCCGACACTCCACCTCAACCTTAGTCGAGAACCCACCGGTAACCTTGGCCGCCTGCACAGCGCGCGGGATTGCGGCCGCAATAGACTCAATCGACGACGGGTCCGCAACACCGCCGTCCGCCGCAGCCCGGTTGTTAGCGCACGCCCACACGTGGTTATCCTTCAGCATAGTCATGGAGCTCAGATCATGGCGGTGCGGGTCGGCGCCACCAGCAAGCATCCCATATTTCTCAACAAGCCGGAACCCAGGCGTTGTCTTCCTTGTACCGGCCAGGATACCTTGCCATCCTTGCGCACGTAGTGCAGCGAGCATGGAGGCGCTCTTGGTGGCGATGCCTGAGCAACGGGCGAGAATGTTTAGGGCCACGCGCTCGCCGAGGAGAATCTTGCGGATGGGGCCGCGGACGGTTGCGCAGTGCTGGATTGGGGTGATTGCTTCGCCTTCTTTGATGTGCCATTCGATTCTGGATGGGTTAGAGAGGTTGGGGTGGGATTGTGGGTGGTGCGTGGATGGAGGAGCGCCCAGGTGAACGAGGAGACTTACGTGCACCCTAGTTGCGAGAAGACCTCGTCGAAGAATGGTACGCCTGCGACGATGCCCTGGGGGGGTGGATTAGTTAATATTTTTCTCATAGATAAGTAGGAATATCTGGTTATAGACTCTGTTGCTTTACCTTGCTCTTTCCTAGTAGTCGGGCCTCGCCCTCTGACTCGCCGACGACAAAGCCACCATAGTCCAGGCTAGGGCAGTCCTCTTCCAGCCAGGATGTTATGAAGCGCTTGTAGTTGCCGGGTAGTAGATGGCGCAGATCTCCGTGAGCTGAGGCCATTGTAAATAGAGTAGATTGGAGCAAATGAATTGGATCAAGGTATTGGAGAAGTTGTGTTGATCTGCGAGTTCGCACGAAGTTCCCCCGCGCGGGGTGAACTCGGGTTGGCCCGGTCTCCGATTGTGGCCAGAATCACGTGGGATACAATAATACCCCTGATAGTTATAGTTCCAAGGTTATATAACTATTATTATAATATTGAGTGCACCTGTATACACTTTCAAGTAGGCATTAACTAGGCTATTGTACAAAAAGACTAAGCCCAGGCTAACGGTTATAGTTATGGAGCCCCGTTATTGAGATGCACACTACATCTTAAGAAAAGCCTAAAAGGAATCATATATCCGTAACTCCAATAATTAAGATAAAATAGTAATAGTATCTTACCTAGGTACAGTGCCACATTCCGGGAATACGGCACACTAAAAGAATTAGATCGTCACGGGCTTGACATTCCCAGTGGAGAAAAGATTATTCTCGAAGGGAGCGGGTCCTGAAAGTTATGTATGAATTGGGAAACTGTTCTGGATTGGAGGTATACCTCTATATGTATACTATAATTTATACATATGTACACTACATATCTAATAAGAATGTAGTGAGATGATAGAGATATTCACATGTGAACGTATAGAAACATCAAAAAGAAATGCGAATCCCGAGGGAATTACGGGAAACACGGGCTGCCGAGGATCCGGGAAGACGATAACTTGATCGGCTTCGGCATTTTTATCTTTTTATTTTATTTTTCTTTTTGGATTACAATGTGTATACGGAGCACAATGCCGAGGTTCCTTGTATAATAATCAAAAATATACATGTCTAGGCTCGTTCAAGTCTCCACTTCTCTGACTTGAATGTGAAAATGTCTCTTGGTACACTTATGTACTGCTATACTGCTATACTGCGATACTGATTTACCTCTTTTGCTATACCCATTCAATCCTTCCACGCCTTGTAAATAGTCTTGCAGCCAAACAACTGACCCTTCTTCAGCAGAACCATGGACCGCCACTCAGGCTCGTTAATCGCATTCACGAACCGGCTAGGTTCCACACAGAATCCAGCCCCCTCATGGTGTGCTGGCGCACCATTGATCGACGGCACATCGACGTACTTGCCAGTGTAGAACTGGAATGCAGGCTCGGTGCTGTGCACCTCAAGATGCAGGCCCGTGCTTGCGTTGCTGAACTGTGCCAGGCGGCGCAGCGGCAAGCCACGAGTGTCCAAGGGAATCTTGCTGGGATCGGACTCCAGCACAAAGACGTCGTCGATGTGTGCGCCCGTTGCGGCGAGCGTGAACGGGGTTGTCACGTCACGCGGGAACTTGGCGATCTCACCCGAGGGGATGCCTGTGCTATCGAGGGGCAGATAGTCGCCTGTGGCGAGCTGGGCGGTGGTGCCCGAGATATCGGGGCCATCGCCGATGTTGAAGTAGCTGTGAGAGGGGGAGCTTGGTCAGCGGGGGGGGGATAGCTCAATTTTCGAGATTGATGATGACCATCAACTTCGAAGGGGGCAAGGGGGCTGGATCTTTACCTGTGGTTGGTGATATTGACTACAGTCTCCTCGCACTCGTTGCCAATGAATTCCACCTCGTACTCGGCCGTCAGCACGGTCTTGGCGTCACCCTCCTTGCTGGCGGTGTACCATACGCGCACCTCGACGGTACCGGGGTACCCCTCCTCACCATCTTTGCACAGGTACTTGAACAGCAAGGCGTCGTGGCCATTGCGCCGGACTGTGTGTGGACCGTCAAAGACGCGCTTACCCCAACCCTTCTCACCACCATGCAGGGAATTGGGGCCGTTATTCTGCGTCAATTGGATCTTCTGGCCATTCAGGTTCTGGATCAGACCATCCTTGATGCGGTTTGCAACGCGGCCGATGGTGGCACCATAGTGTGGGGAGTTGTGCTTGACATAGTCCTCTTGCGTGGGGAAACCCAGAACGATGTTATTGTCGCCGACTCGGAACTCTTGGATGATGGCGCCCAAAGGCAGGAAGGTGAATACAGCTTGTTCGGGAACGGACATGGTGAGGTTTCTTTTATTCTGGTTTTTTTTTTCCTTTAAGAGAGATGGTGGGGGAAGAAGAGTATGTACTTTCATTTTTAGGGTCGACATGACGTTGTAACCCCGCAACCTGCGGGATGAATCACCGACAACATGACACCTTTCAATTTTTTGTTTAGCATAAATGTTGATATTCCAGGCATTAAGAGGTGTTGATTCCTCTAACAGGGTCCTGATTTTAAGGTGATTAGGCTAAAAGAGAGCTTTTGAATTAGCCAGGACCCGGTGGGATTAGGGTAAAGCATAACTCGTGACTTCTTCCGTAACCCATATAAAACACCCCAAGCCACCTGCCCAGGTGGGCACCTAGTCCACCAAAACTATAACCTCAATTATCAAAGGCAAGAAGGTAATATTGTATCGAATCGGTATTCTCCAATCAGAGCTTTACACGGAACTACAATATATCACGCATAAAGCGGACATAGGAAGTCGGCGTTAGGGTAAGCCTGCATCCGGTCGGAGGGAACGGGGTCCGGTGTCCGAAGGGATCTATACCCCGGACTCGTGTCGGCCCACTGAAAAAAAAAAAAAGGAGACATGCCAAGGTTCCAGTATTAATAATTGGCAGATACCTAGGCACGGAGTACATACATAATAAAGGATTGGCATTGGGTTGGCATTGGGTTGGCATTGGATTGGCATTTGTATTTGACATTGTATTAGGCAGGCATTTTCTTGTTAGACTAGTAAGTTGGCCCCAAAGCAGGTTTGGCGATAACTGGGGCTGTGTGTCAGGGGTATATACTTCAGACCGAATACGATATACGAATACATATACGGCTTGGCTAGAACTGAGTTTATAAGAACAATGAGCATGTACAAACTAATCATTAGTTGTACTAACGGAATTCTATATTTCCAATTCGGAGAGTTTGACCCATAACGGTAAATCGGGAGTTCGGCGAGTTTAATAGCCCGCGGGCCCCATGGCTGTTTATAAAGCAAAAATCTCACGTAAGCAAAAAAAAAGAGAGCGAAAATCGCTCAAAATGTGGAGATTCGGAAAGAAAAAATTAATATAAAAAACAATATATCCGCTGAGTCAGAAGATCAATAATCATCCCCATAAAAAAAAAAAGAAAACTCCTTGGAGAGTCCGAATTATTCCCGTTTTGTCCATTAGTCATCTATGAGGTCCTTGGGGCCTTCAGGGAGCAAATCGGCGTCTTTCTCCGCTAGATCTTTTACGATCTTCTGGAACGGTACCTGGGTAAAAACTGCCCAGATATATAAAGTCGAATGAGATCATTTCCCGTTTCGGATGGTGTAACGGTGACATGACCTCGAACTTCATTTGAATTGTAATTAGAAAACACAACGCCTTCTTAAAACCCCGTTTTAGAAATCCAAAAAAACCCCCCAAAGTAGAAAGAACAAACTCCAAATCTCCGAAACCGATTCACTGTACAGAGGTGATTAGGATCCCAATTGCGCCTGAATCCAGTCAACAGAACTTGCGGGGGAAAATAGCCCCAGAAGAGAAGAGAAGAGAAAGAATAGCAGAACATGTATAGTATACATGCATCACGTCATACGGCGTTAAAAAAAAAAAAAAAGAGAGAGTCGAAAAGAAAGTAACCCTAAAAAGGATAAGGCTCAGATCGAAGTGATCTCCGTAGGATTTGGATTAAGGAATTGGTTGAAATCCTCATAGTCGTTCTTAGAATCGAGATACGACCCTTGAGACAAGCAGTTCATGGACACTTGGCGATTGAACATAGGCGACGATAGCTGCTGGTCGTCAAAGGGCATATTGGAGTAATCGGCCGTGGACATCATATCCATCTCATCGAAAGGATTGAACCCGTTACTAGGCCACTGTTGCGGACCCTGCAAAGCCAGTGGGTTGACCACGCCCTGCATAGACATGGGCTGAGCGAATTGCGGGGTGTTGGGCATCTGAGGCTGATGAGGCTGCTCGGTCTTGATGTGTGCACGGGTCGAGGGACTGTATGTTGGCGGCGTGGGAGGCATGTGCTGCTGGGAGAAAGCATCGGATGAGAAGCGCGAACGGGGCACTGGTGACTGGGGGCTATCGGAGCCACCGTCGGAGGATTCCTGGCGTTGCATGCCGGCGTTGGTGTGCCATAGATCCTGCTGTAAAGCTTCGGGGTTTTCTTCGAAGCGCTCGCCCTTGGAGCCGTCGAGAGCGCCGAGGCGCATGAGCAAGTCGTGAGTGAGTGGGTGACCATTGGGTTCAAGTTTCAGCTGCTCGCCAGGCCAGCCTTCGCCTTCGATGTTGCGTCGATAGAGTTCCTGGAGGCCATGGACCAGCCAGGATTGTTGCTGTTCGAGCATTTCAACATATCTATAATTGGAGGAGATAACTTGTCAGCTTGGGGGGTTCTTAGAGCTTTTGAATATAGCTATTTAGCTTACCCCTTCGGGTACACTTTGTCATGCGCCTTCTTGCGCTCTCCAAAGACGCAGATGGCATTATCTGCACGACAACGGGAACAAGGACTGGATCCGTCACACTGTCCGGGGTTAGTGTGTGCTGGGACGATCGTCTTCTTGTTGTACATACCTTGGATTTCTTCAGACGACACCGATCGCATGCTTTGCATACTCTTTTACGGACATTGCTATCCGAATGCGAGTGCTCCGAGGTTGGTGTTGATTGGCGAGCTGCCATGACTGAAAATCGAAAGTGTGATAGAGAGAGAGAGGATATAGTAGGGGATTTTGACCCTTAGCTATACTTCCAGATCCAAGTAGGATCGACGTCAAATCGGGGTCAATGATATAATGATGTTAACAGATCATTAAAAGGAAATTGAGTTCGAATAAAGTAGACGGATGCAGATAGGAAACCCTTGGGACCGTGGATATAGGGTTAAAGAAATAATAAGTATAGAGTAGTAATATAGGGAAGTAATCTGAGTCCAGGTCACCATGGGAGTAGATGTGCATATATAGGAATCACGAAAAAGAGGGGGCCTTTCTTATTTAGGGTTTTTAATTATTATTAATTTTTTATTAGAGTCATGGATGTGTCTTACGGAGTACAGTCTAGAGTCTAGAGAGAGAGCATAAAAAAAGGGATCGGATCGAAGATCATAAAATACCATACAATTCCCATACTGTGAAAAAAAATACAGGATGACTCGGCATTTGCTGACGGAGCTCGGGGACTTCAAACTTGACGTATATCCGAGTGGAGTGCATTTCCGGCCACACATTTTATTTTTATTTTAATATTGGAATATAGAATATCTATACTCTGTAGGACGAATAGAACATAAGATTATAGGATATAGATTATACAATATATTCTATATATTCTATATAGTAGAAAATAATAAAATATGAATATCTATGCATAAGCATAACCCTATGTAAGCGTATAAAAGAAAAAGAAAATCGGCAAGCCCATGCCGAATTGTATGTTGCACCCGAGAACTTCATTATATTATGTATTCTGGATTCCGAGGTATATTCCAAGATCAAGATTTTAAATGTAATATTATAGGTTCATCGAAATCTAGTTTACGATATACAACGTTAACGCCCAATAATAATTAGTAAATAATCCCGAGGTCATTTCAAATCATCGTGATTCATGACCCTAGACCTCTAGGCCTATTACCAATTATTGTTCCCCCGTCAAGGTGATGGAGGAAAAAGTCCATGACGTGACCATTCCGGTTTTCGCCCAATCAGGAACTATGTCCCTTTTCAGGATATGCCTTTCATACCTTTTCATCTTTACTTTTATTACTGTGTATTATCAAAGGGCTAGACCACTTTTCTAGAACATATCCTGTTTCTCTCTTTCTATCCTGTTTCCTCGGCTGATATTCCGTGCTGTTCAAAAGCTTAGCTCAATACTTACTGCATTAGGAAATATGTGACGACCTAAATCCTATCGAATCCCATCAAGTCCTATCAATCTCAATCCGTGGGAACACACACACTCTCTCTCTATCGACCAGCATATCTCGTAAGACCGGTCTTATATCGGAGACACATTCCGAGTCCATTCACCCTATTCACCCCGAAGGTGGGCTTGGGTTGCTCCATGTTTCTCATGTTTCTCATGTTTCTCTATGGCATGTTCCCCAAGTCGACTCTATATACAGAGACACCCCCCCTCCCCCGGCAACCAAAATATATATATATATATGTGACAGGGGTATAGTATAATCTACATGCTGTTATAATGTACAGTCTCATTATCTGTCAACAAGAGCAGTGAAAGCACCAGAGCTGACAGACGCAGCAACCCCGATAACACCTCTGACGGGGTTCCTGATGTTTTTCGGTTCCGTTTTGGATTTCACTCTGTTCCTGACCCTGTTGGCCCTTTGGTTCCGTTGTCTTCCGGTGTTTGATAAACTCCCACACGCGACTTCGACGGGATCGGGTCTCGCCTGCAATTTCGTCTACAGTGGTGGTTGGTAGGGTATTGTGCGTTGGCTCGGTGCACTGAGGAGGAAGCGCACCCTGTTGGCTTTGGAGTCGGCGGGCTTCGACAACGCGACGGACTAGATCTATCCAGTCATTAGCTCTACTCTTTCTTCCTTGCTGACATGTCATACGGGCAAAGGTCTCCTCAATGTTGACCGTCTCGCGAGCACTGGTCTCCATAAACCCGCACCCGTGCTTGCGCGCATACTCGAGTCCGTCGCGGGATGTCACCACGCGATTATCCTTGAGATCGCATTTGTTGCCCGCGACGATTTTAACTGGCGGTGGCAGACCAATCTGGCTGACATGGCCTACACCTCCAGATTTCTCTCCTAACTGGCGTAGTCGCTGGTTGTCCTCGACGCGTTGTTCCGCTTCCATATGAATCATCTCCATGAAATGATCCAGCGTTTCAAGACTCGAGGGGTTGGTGATATCGTAAACCAGGAGGAATGCGTCCGAGTTTAGGGTCGAGGCAGACCATAGCCCACGGTACTCCTCCTGGCCTGCAGTATCGGTGATGGAAAGGACGTAGGGGTGGCCATCGATGTTGCGGGTGACGGAGTAGGAATCCTCTGGGCCCGATTAGAATTGGAATGGCATCGGAATGGGCGCGCAATACCGATAGTTGGATCATATCTAGAAATGAGATATTAGTGCTAGTTTTTCCAAGATCAGGGGGAAGTCCTCACTCGTGAACCCATTGACTACGGACCAGCCGCATAGTGATAGAGGATTTTCCTACATCCCGATCTGATCAGATCTCGATCGCGTAAAACCCGGAAACGTGGCACCGAATCACGGAGTCAGGATATTCCCAGGAGACAAGAGAAGCAACATACCACATCCACCATCTCCGCAGATGGTGATTGAGATCTTGTCCATGGCCAAAGGACATTGGAGGGAGTGAAGAGGGGAGATGGGGAATCCTGGGCTTGTTGACAGGGTTATTAATATAATAGGGGGTTATCAATATAGCTATGTACAACATAATATAACTAGCTTACTAGTTATCTTATAGCCCTTATTATATAATTGTTCTCTTTCTCTCTAACTATCTCTAAATGTTTACTCCTTCGGTCTATAATTGTCATTGTGATACATCTCATGGGGTTTTGCCTCTTTCACATAGACATGACACTGGATACATAACACGGGACATCTACAATTCCTACGATCTATAATATATAGAATAGAATAGAGACAGAGAAAGAGAAAGAGAATAATATATATAGAAATAAATAAAAAGACAACATATTTTTGAAGGGAATGTCAACTCTTCCCCGTATTTGACGAAGATTGGCGAGTAACTTCTCCACATACATTTGTACTTTGGAGACATCAAGTCCTTCTCCCTCTCTCTATTTTCCTCTCTCTTCCTCTCTCATCCTCTCCCATTCTCTCTTCTACAAATATCAAACACATTCACTCCTATAAAACATCCACAAATCGCAAGGATATTCTGACGGAAATTCTCACTTCTGCCCAGGTTGTCATCCCGCGGGGCGATGGAACTCGGTCTGGGCCACAGATATTTTAATCATGACCAACATGAACAACTTCAACTTGGAATATGACGATGAACATCAGGTTCCCTCACAACCCAACCCTTCATATACGACCTTTCCCAGCCAGGGTAATTATGCCTTCAGTGCTATGCTACCCCAGGATGCGGATCTGCCTCTCCAGAGCCTCGCACGATCACAGCCTTCGGATCTGGAAGGACCTAGGTCTAATGTCATGCTCACATACGACGGGATTCCGACCTCGGGTATCTCAATGCCAATGAATATGAATGCCACCAACGCATATACCTACGATATCCCAACCACATACCCGACCACCACCATGGGGATACATCCGCAGATGGATCATTCACAGTTTCAGTCTACATACCCGCCCTATCCACACTCCATGACGGTGCCCCATTATTCCCAGCAGCTCGCTCCGCCAGCCCGCATGGAACGATACGATACAAGCACCGATTCGACAGCCAATTTCGAGGATTCCGACTTTTCAGGTCGCACGAGCGACTGGTCGCAGGCGCAAGCGCAGGTGCAGCGGGCTCAGCAACAACCTCCGGAGCGCCGCCTGCCTGCTGCCCAGCCGTACCGTCCATCGCAACCGGTGGCTATCCAGCCCAAGAAGCCCGTTGCTGCCAAAGGTGAGTTGTGTCTGTGTCTGGCACCTCCCCGTTGGCTCTGGCCCATGGTATGACTGACGCGGGGAACGCGCAATCAGAGGATCTCTCGCCGGGGCTCGAAAAGCCCGAGATTGGCAAGACTGAACATACCGGCATCTATTCGACGACTGGCTTTGACGTGCTGGGAGCGTTGGTATGTCTTGTTATCCCCATGGAGAGTATCTGACGATATACTAACCGTATTCAGGGCCGTGTGGCTATGCGGCCCAACCCTAAAATTAACATTGGCGCGGTCGATCTCTCATGCGCCTTTGTGATGTGTGATATCTTGGTCGAGGATCATCCAATCGTCTATGTATCAGAGGCCTTTGAACGATTGACCGGCTATACTAAAGATGAAATAGTTGGACGGAACTGTCGATTCCTTCAAGCGCCGGACGGTAGGATCAACGCTGGCGCTAAGCGGACCTTTGTGGATGGACAGACTGTCTATCGGCTACGGTCAACCATCGACGATCGCAGTGAGATCCAGGCTAGTATAATTAACTACCGCAAGGGTGGACAACCCTTCATGAATCTCATCACGATGATCCCCATCCAGTGGGACTCAGATGTATATCGGTACTACGTCGGGTTCCAGGTCGATCTGGTTGAAAAACCCGATGCCGTGAGGGGAAGAAATCCTGGTATGCTTTACAGCATTCTTCGTGGCGAGTGCTCTCACTAACATTGTATAGATGGTAATTATAGAATTAACTACCAGCGCGATCAGCTGCCACAGTATATTGTCCCACCACCAGATGTATACTCACGACCAGACCTCGGGTTGCGATATGGTCATGACGAAGTGACTACCATTCTCAACGCCATGGGCGCAGCTGGCAATGAGGTCAACCGGCACTACCTGGATCGTATTCTGGTTGAGAATACCGATGATGTGATCCATGTACTTTCATTCAATGGGGAATTCTTGTACTTGTCGCCCTCTTGCCACAAGATTCTAGAGTACGATCCGGTCGAGCTGATCGGCAAGACCCTGTCCACCATCTGCCATCCCAGTGATATTGGTCCTGTAATCCGTGACTTGCGGGCGAGCACGACAACCGCTCCAGTGAGTGTTGTGTATCGTATCAGACAAAAGCACAGAGGATATATGTGGTTCGAGAGTCACGGCGCGTGGCACATCGACCCGACCCAGGGCCGGAGGCATCTTGTCATGACCGGCCGCCCACGACCTGTCTACACATTGGATCAGATTGCCCGCCTGGGCTCATCCGCCGCGCTGGCCGAGAATGACATCTGGGCCAAGATTTCTTTGTCTGGTGTCATTCTGTTCGTTACGACCAAGGTGAAGCCGGTGCTCGGCCGCTCGCCTGACGATCTGATTGGTAAAGGCCTACAAGAGATCATGAAGCCCGAGACTGGTGGAACTGCCACGATCACACAAGCCCTAGAGGCAGCCTGTGGTGGACAAGGAGCTAGCCTGGCCACCGTTACGGTCAGCGGCAAAGAAACGGATGAACCACCCTCGTTCAAACACCAAATGTGGCATAAGAAAGGCCATGCCCTTTCAGCACATACCACGTTGTACACCGGCGACGCACCCAAGGGAATCAAACCGACCTTCCTCGTCGCCCAGATACGATTTGCTCGATCCTTCCCTCCATCCACCACCGCCGTTTCAGCCGCCGAAGACAAAAGTCTCGCTACGCTTACCGGCACCGCACGCACTGCAACACTCACCGTCGATGACCCCGTCCCGCCCCAGCAGTACGGGGCCCTTGGTCAACGCATGCCCGATCTATCAAACCTTATCGGCCTCAACGGTCTGCCCACTGGCAACCGCAGTATTTCACCCTCTGGCGACCCAGCAACCTTCTTTACAGAGCTCAATCCCACCCGCGGATCGAGCTGGCAGATCGAGCTGCGCGAGCTAGAAAAGCAGAACCGCACTCTGGCCGATGAATTGCAACGCCTGCTGGCTCGCCGCAGGAAGCGCAAGCGCAAGCAGGGCGCTATGGCGGTCGAGAAGTTTTGCGCCATGTGCAACACAAAGAACACCCCCGAGTGGCGGCGTGGCCCGAGTGGAAATCGGGATCTTTGCAATAGCTGTGGTCTGCGATGGGCGAAGCAAATCCGTGGCCAGGCGCAGGTGCAGGCTGCGGCTTCTTCGTCTCTTACGGTGGACTGATGGTGAGTATATCAACTGCTTTTTTTCTTCTTTTTTCGAAATTGATTTCCTTCTCCGCTAGGAGGGCTGGTTTCTTGATACCCTTCCGTTTGACTGTCGAAATTGACACATGCTACTTTTGAGCGCTTGGATTTTTGGATTGTTATTTCGCAGTCTTTTCTATGTAGTCTTTGAAATTGCATTCAGAAAAGACATGCCGGCTCAGACTTAGGCTACGGCTAGTAGTGATATCAAAGCTCGACGAAAAACAGCTCTTTTATGAGTCGAAATGTTGGATATATTACAAATAATCCCTAAGAAACATCTACTGTGCAAGCAGGGACATCTAGTCTATGGGCCTTCAAAAAACTACAGCTTCTTGGACCTAGGACTGTTTCCACGAACGGCCAGCCACTGCTCCAACCAGCGCCTCTCCAACTCCTCCACGCGTTTCTGGTCTTGAGTACCAGAAGAGACGTCCTCACCACCACGTTCCTCAACCGCAATCCGCACCTCAGTAGCATTCATAGCCTTAACCCCTCCACCAGCACGAATCATCCCATCATCTATAGCCAGGTACTCGACATACCGTGCCAGCCGAGGCCGGTAGATCAAACCAGCAAGCGACTCGCCCGCAGTCCTATCGTGACGTTTAACCAGGCCAAAAACAGCACAGGCACGCAACACATCCGCGGAGCCTGCACCAGCAACCCAGACAGGATCAGCAAAACACCCAGCAAGCAGAGCCAACTGCTCCGAACCGCCCGCCTTGAGCAAGTGTACAGATCGATCCTTATTCTCAGCAACAAACACATCCAGCGCCGCGAGTTTGCGCGCCGTAGCAGCAATGCGTTCCTTCTCCACCTGCGAGGGCACACGACACGTCGCGGGTGTAATGGCAGAGCCGAAAATCGGAACGATCAGGGGAGTGAACTCGCCGCAGACGATCAAGATCAACGTGAAGGGGATCATGCGGCGGACATCGCGGGCTGAGCGGCGGACCAGCTGGAATTGCGCGCGGCCGAGCTTGGATTCTTGTGTTATTGATGGCGCGTTGCGGTTGCGGTTGCGGTTGCGGTTGTTGTTGTTGTTGTGTGTGCTTGTCCGCGGTGGAGATGTGGGGATGTAGGCGGGTAGGCCTAGTTTCCTCCGTAGAGGGAGTGAGGCGCGGTAGTTGCGGTAGACGTTTTTCAGGCCCGTTTTGTAGAAGGTCACGTATGCGCGGCCGAATTCGACATAGCGTTTTAGTTTATCTACTGCGCCTGCGGAGGGGGATAGGGGGGATGGGGTTGTGATGGCGGCGGGGTGGGTGCTAATTGGGGCATTTATTTCGGTTTTGGTGGGAGTTGAGACGGTGGTTGTGGTAGGTGGTGATGGGGAGGGTCGGCGGGATTGCTGCCTCGGGGCGGAGGTTGAGAAAAGCTGGGATTGCGCGCGGATGGGCAGTAATTGGGATTGGAGATGGGTGTGGAAACGAAAGTGATTCCAAGGTTGGAATTGAGTATAGAGGCCTCGCTGGCCCCGAGTTATGCTGGCCATTCTTGAGGTGATGAGAGAAGATGAAATCAAGGCTGAGGGTTGCACATGTTATCAGTGGTTGACACCTTAGGCATCAATATCAAGATGCGAGTCGAGAGATGTTCAGGCCTAAGAGTATCAGAGCATCATCTACAATAGTAATTGAGGGCTAAGAGTTTAATCATAATATCTCTCATTATTCGAAGTGGGTTGAAGAAAAACGAAAATTCGTTAGAAACCAGCTATATATGCTCGAACTATTTTGTAGGGTAATTAATGTACACCAATTTGAACCAACAAAGATCTATTCATCTGCACCGACCTCAACGTTTTCGATGAGCCCGTTGCCCAACCGCGCGATCTCGTTCAGAATAGCAGTTTGGTTGATTACGACCTCACCTTCGGTATCACCTGGGGCGGTCGAGTATGCTGTCTTCAGGTTCCAGCTTCGCGACTTCAGGGTCTGTGGGTTCCAAAGGCCAGCAATCACTGCACAACGATCGTCTCCGTGGAAGAGCAAAATGCTCTGGCTGTAGCAGGCTTGTACATCACAGACAAATGACTTGATGGTCTGCATCATTCCAGCACGGGGTTCGGCCAAGTTCTTGAATTTGGGTACCGAGGAACCGCTAAACAGCTTTGGGCGAAGGTGGATGACAAAGTCGTAGGGAGCAAGCGAGGTATCAAACAACTCGGAAACATCCATATCGAGGGGTTTGCTTCGTAGCAGGCTTACTGCTGCTTTGGCCAGGCTGGACATCCGAGCAGCCACAACCTTGGAGGGCATCTCGTATTGGGTCCAGGTCACTCCTTCAGTATCGAGGTCAGAGGCGACGAAAAGGGCCAGGCTGTTCATCGCAGGGTCGATGCTGCGCCAAGCTGTGAAGCGAGTGCGGATATTTTCCGTCACTTGTGGGGTCAGTTCACCTCCCAGATCAACAACGAACGGCTCCTGCTGCCAGTCCCACCGAGAGAGGAAGTGGAGAGTTCTCAGGAATCCGGTCATGACAGACGAAGGACATTCCCAGGGGTTAGGTTGAGTGAAGGTGCGAATTACCAGCAATTCAATCAACTCGTCGCTGATTTGGGCAGTAAACAGGTGGGAATTAAACCATTGTTTGGTAAGACGAATGGTGGGCGACAACAAGGGGAAGCGTGTGCACAGGCTTCGGAGTGCCTGTGTCAAGCGTGGAGTTTGGACAAAGGTTTTCTTGTAGGCGAAGAGAGCATAGGCGGCCTCTTCTCGCTCCCGGGGACTCAGATTTCGGTCCTTGAGATTGCGCTCGAGTAGGGTTTGTTCACGCTCGTGGTGAATCCTCAACCGGAACAACACGCCAGAAGAATGGGGGATTTCCAAATAAGCATTGTTGATTACCTTGCTCGATTCGTTTTCGAGGCCTACACGGCAAGACGAGGCAGCAGCCGATGATTCCAGTGAGTCTCCAATCTTCAAAAGGAATGCAACCTTGGTCATTTGGATAGCGGCGAAGTCATCGGGCCAACGTGAGGAGCTTTCAAACTGAAGAACAACGTCGGTGGCTCCCGTTGGTCTGAGGGAGGTATAACGAAGAAGCGAACTGGCCGGTGCCAAGTGACGTACCTCCAGTGGCACTTCGTCCATGCCGCGAATAGATCTCTCAAGATCCTTGAAGGCATCGTCGATTGACTGGAAAGCAGGGCTGGAGTATGCCAGAATGCCATCGCCATGCTCTTTGAGGAGCTCGTCATATTCATCACCAACAAATCCGAATTCATCGGTGGTGATCTTGAAGTGCCGTTGGAGTATGTACTCCAAAATCTGATAGATGATAGATGTCTCTGACTCGTCAGACCACACAAGACTCTCCAGGATGCTGCCATCCTTGAATCGTCGAAGTTCCGACTTTTCACCCCAGAATGCTTGGAACGAAGCAGACTCTTCTTTTTCTTCTGCGGCCGGACCGTGGTCGACAATTCGTCCGACATTTTCAGCATTCAACAACAGTCCTACAGACACACCCTGGCTCGACCGTTTGGGCTGCTTGGATTTGACTGACCACGAATCAATGGCGTGGCCCACAATAGAAACAAGTTTGACTCTGTCTCCCAGAGCCCGGGAAAGAACGGTATACAAAGCATTCTGTTCGTGAAGAGCGCGGAGCGTGTCTCCATTGAATGACTTGGGGAATGAGATCAAGCGGTCAAATCTGAGGGCCGGTTCGTCAACCTTGAGAATGAAAACCTTATCAAAGTTGTCCTCTCGTGACTCATTGAGCATTTTTAGGGTGATGGCGGCTTCATGGCGCAGGGTTGTGTATGACCAAGGCGTCATTTTGTAAAGAATGTTCAATCCTCTGCGGCCATCAAAGACAACAGGTACCCCGGAAGGAACTGGGACCTCTTGGCCAAAGAATAGAGGAGTGGTCAAATCCCTGCCGGCCAAAAATTGAATGGTGGCCTTGAAAATTTGGTAGCAGCTGTATGATGGCAGCAGGACCGGTTGTCCAGCCGGACCACCGCCTTCAAACAGCAAAGACAGAAGTACAGTCCATTCGAAACCACCAAAGCCTCCATTCTGGAAGGGAGTATGGAAGCCTCGTTGTTGCAGCCAAGTGCGGCCAAGAATGCATGCATCGCTGAAAGAATCGCATTTCTTGGAGGCCGAGTAGATAGACTTGTGATAGAGAGAGACGGTGGCATCGGAACGGAGGCTGGCATTGTAATACGAGGTCGGTTCGCCGATCTCCGAGTTATTGGAGGCCTGGCGGATATTGCTTTTGAGTGGAAGCGTTCTTGTGATCGGGAACAACGTAGGATCGATTGCGGTCAGAATTCGAATTGTGGGCCCGGACGATTCGGCTTGACGCGGTTCCAACAAGATGAGAGGACGGAGACTGTCTCCATCCTGAGGACCAAATTTGAGATCAAACCCGAGAGTGTTCGCGGTGTCTTGAATCCCAGCAGCCACGCATGCGATATAGTAGGCCCGCTTGTGGAAGTATCTGAAGTTTACGTAGTCCTTCTCCTGGAAGAGCGAACTCGGCATGGTGACTGCCATATCAATTGGGCGCGATTCCAAAGTGCGAGCGCCTGTCTTTAGCGCAAAGCTACCTACCACATTGATGTTCGCTGGCTTTGCGTATGCCATGCTGTACTTGACATCCTTGCTCGGCCGAGGCTCAGGCCATGGAACCACCAGGCCAGAAGCACGTAGCTCCTTCTCGGCATCAGGGACAGATTGCGGAGACTTTTCGGGCAGGCCTTCAATCGCGGTCTTGATTTGGTGTAGTGTTTCCTGAACCTTTGAGACTTGCTTGCTGTAGTTAGGTCTCAATCCCTCCAGCAGATCGTCCATTTGCAGCTTGAAGAAACTGGACTTGTAAAAGCCGCTGGCCATTGCAAGCTCTGCGGAGCGCTCATCTTTGCCTCGAGTCGGGTTTCGCTTCTCGGTCACTTTTGATGTCTGTTTCGTTGAAGAGCTAGTAACAGCATTCTCCGGGGAAGGACTGAGCTTCCTGCGCTTGGATGTGTGGTCGGACATTTCGTGAGCGTAGCAGTTGTTAGTAGAGGCCGAGATTTTTTTTTTGGCGATAACGGTATTGTACTGATACCGTACGGCTGACTCATTCGTAATTTATCAGGTACCCGGAGCTTCGCCGAAGTCGCAGGAGGAATGGCATCATTTACAACCTTAAACTCTTTTTTTCCCTCTCTTTCATTCTAAAACACATATCTACAATAGGTCATATTTTCTAGCCCCTATTTTCTATTTCTATTTTCAATTGAAAATGTTGCAGGTCTTGGGAGGACCTGTACCTCCAAACACTGACCATGTATGGTTGACTCCCCGTAACCCCTCCATGACTCTTCTAACATTCACAAGGCCGTCAGTGTATCACTTCCATCATGGAGGGAAAATATTGGCTACGAAGAAGGAGAAGATTGGGTCATGAATAAGATGCAATGCGGTTATCCCCGGTTCTTCGTCCATCCTATTATTCAAAAGCTCGCGCAGGAAATTGTTCGCCGAGTCGGTGACTCCAACCTCGAGTCTGCAACCCTATTCGCATCAATCAAGCCAGCGCGCATATGTCACTCCTTTTTGCTTAGCAAAATCCCTACTGAGCAGGCATACAAAGCACGGATTGTCAACTTCATCCCATCCCCACATACCGAAGCTGGATCAACAGTGACGTCTTCCTTGTCGTGTGTCATTTACCCAAAAGAATACGCCTCCATTACCAAGCAGGTATGGCAACACTCGGGCAATGGCATCTCCAGTCGACGAGGTGAGTTCTGCCTTGGAGCATTGGCGGACGGGTTTTTGGTGGAAGACAAAGGCCTTGCGACTGCGGAGTCAATCTCCCAGCGTCCTTGTAAGGGACCCCGCAGATACCAAAGTGTCAGTGGAGCGAGAAAGGGCTCTGTTGGGGAATCTCCTCCCAAACCAAACACCGAAGACGGCCGAGACTATGCTCAGTTTATTGAGGAGCGGTTTGGCCGAAACCTCAGCACTTCTCTCGCCAATCAGGCCAAGCTCGCTGTTCGCAAACGTATTGCGGGTGTCTTGACAGCCGATGCTGAACTGCCAGAAGCCCTGGAAACAGCTTCATCAGAAGGTCGAGTCGCCGGTATTTCTGAGGAGGATGTCCTTCTTTACCCTTCGGGTATGAGCGCCATTTTCAACGCTCATCAGACCTTGCTGGCTACTAGAGGCGATTTGCCGTCAATTTGTTTCGGGTTCCCTTACACGGATACATTGAAGATTCTCCAAAAGTGGGGACCAGGCTGCGTATTCTATGGTCACGGCTCCTCGGAAGATCTGGATAACCTGGAATCTCGACTGAAGGCTGGTGAGCGTTTCCTTGGGCTTTTTACCGAGGCACCAGGTAACCCTCTTCTCAAAACACCGGACCTCAAACGGATTCGCGCTTTGGCAGACGAGTATGGTTTTGCCGTGGTGGTCGACGAAACCATCAGCAACTTTTTAAACATCAACGTTTTGCACTTAGCAGACATAGTTGTCAGCAGCTTGACCAAGATTTTCAGCGGAGATAGCAACGTCATGGGAGGAAGTGCGGTGCTCAACCCTCACGCACAGTATTATGCAGCCATCAAGGAAACCTATAACCGGGATTACGAAGATATCTACTGGGCAGAAGATGCCGTTTTCTTGGAGAGAAACAGCCGTGATTTTATTGCTCGCATTGAACAGATCAATGCTACCACTGAGGACATTACAGCTATGCTGAAGGAGTCTCCCCTAGGTAAGTATCCATTTACTTTTGAGTGGGAGCTATACTGACAATTTCACAGTGAAAGATGTTTACTACCCGAAATACAGCCCCACGAAACCACTATATGATAGCCTCCGCAATGCCAATGGTGGCTATGGTGGTCTCTTCTCTGTCACGTTCCACTCCCAAGCCGAGGCGATTGCCTTTTTTGACACCATCGAGGTTTTGAAGGGACCCAGTCTTGGGACCAACTTTACATTGAGGTGAGTACGCAGGGCCCCTGTCTTGAGTTTTGCTAACCTTTCAGCTCTCCATACGTCCTCCTGGCTCATTACGGTGAATTAGACTGGGTATGTACACCACTCGCATGTTGACCAGGCCATAACTAACATGTGTCAGGCGAGATCCTTCAACGTGGATCCGGATCTAGTGAGAATCAGTGTTGGATTAGAAGAGGTGCCTGATCTGCGCTCCAGGGTACAACGGGCCTTGGACGCAGTGCAAAGTGTTCGACAGGCAAGTGCATAGTCTACCCCCATTCAATCAAAGTTGGCCTGTGCACTATACAAGGACTGGGACTTTTCTGGCTCTGGGATATCCGGATCCGTAAATTGCGGTATATATCGTGAATATAAAGCAGACTACCATATCTTATCACACTGTACCATGAAGAAAACGAGATTCTGCCCCAAGCCCTTCACTGTCCAACGCCAAACAAAAGCAGTTTGAGCTGTTAAAATGTACGATCTAGCAGGTCATCCCCTATGGTACTCACGGCCCGGCTTGTGATGCCCAGGTCTCCGCTGGCGGTTTTTCTCAAAGCCTGTCGCATGGTCTCTACATTGAGGTCTCCCCCAAAACTGGAAGAGACTGGACTTTGGGCAGCACTAGCAGTAGGGAACCGAGTGGGAGACATATCAAGCCCTCTGGGGGGAGGTCGCAATGCTTGTTGGCGGCGAAGTGCTAAGTCCATGCGAAGAAGATGGAGAGCGCAATGGAGACGGGGATTGGTTGATATCTCCTAGGCGCTCCCGAGGTATTACGCCAGGATGAGCTTCATTTGTTTCTGCATGCTCGGCGTTGACAACGTCGGCAAAGGAAATAAAGCTCAGCCGACGTACATCTGTCGTGTCCAGTGCTCCATAACTGGAGAGTTCATCTCCATCAGCATGGCCCAAGAGATGATCGATGCCTGAGGAGGACATCGATTGCTCCCCGGATGGACCACCCGCGGATTGATGTAGGCTATGTGTGACAATCTCGACCGAATCTGGATCGAGGCGTTCATCTGTGATTGCGGCCGAGGATGCTTCTAGGACAGGTGGAATATAGTTATCGGTTCGAATATGTGCAGGTATCGAAGGCGATGCCTGTGCTGGCACTATATCTTCCTGCACATCTCGTTCGAATATTTGAGAGGCGGGGGAATGTATACGGGGCGGCAGATACGAGGAGCTTTCGGGCGACGAGGGGTGTTTCATGTATCTGGTCGAATCATGATTTGGTGTCAGGGCTTCGGATGATCTCACAGGTGATATGCAGCCTGTGTCGATTTGATTCTTGTCCCATGTGAAAGCAGCGGGCTTCGGGGCTCGTGTATTCGCTCCAGCCGCCTTTGGCTTTTGATCTGTCTGAACTGTAGAGTCCGACATTGCGATAAGATGAACTATCAAAATCCAGCCATGATCAATAAAGTAGAGTAAATGGGAGTTAGTAGAAATCTCAGTGATGACATCTGTGAGACATACGTAGTAGACCAGGTGACTGGCCCCAACGGGGGAATATTATTACCCAACTTGGGTAGATACTTGTATCCGGTACTTTTGTTTGAGCTGTGATGGGGAGAGGTCCGGTGTACTGAATACATGTACTCCGTACTACTCCGTACTTTTTAATACGGTATGGTAAATACACTCAGACCCCCAGGGGGGTCACGAGACCAGGGAAAAAGTTCGGGTTCGAAGCGCGAGAGATGCCAACACGTCCAGTCCTTCAACCCCAAGTTCAGTCTTACCTTTAGGTCAGTTTAACCGTTATAAACAATATCTATGAAGTATTACTAACACTTTCTTTTCTATTATTCTAGTTTCTGATCAATTCCCCCTCCCCCAATTGACCAGACGCAATGGCGACCTTCATTGCCGCGACGAAGCGGCCATTTCTCACATTGCCATTCCTTATTCCCTCCTTGTCGGATTCTCTGGCACTAGGATTTCGACGAAACCAATCTTCATACCGACGAACCAAGCAGCGACTACGTGTGAAGCCAGACTCCTCATTTGACCCGTCTAACCTGGGTCACGATCACATTATCCATAACCCGCCATCCAGTGCTCCAAATGCCTACCACACCCCATCCAAATTCTTGCCTGCCGATGATGTTCGGAAAGCATCCATCCTTTCCTCCACTGCGACCCCCAACGCCGACGATCTTCCCGGTGTCTACAAGTCTATGCCCGAAAGAAAATACCACCTCACCCCTTCAAACATTGAAGAAATCCGCAATCTCCGCATGAACGATCCCATGACCTGGAGCCGAAACAAGCTCGCCAAACGTTTTGAATGCTCGCCCGTTTTTATTGCCATGGTCTGCCAGGCAAGCCCAGAGAAGAGGGAAATCCAAGCCCGGATCTTGGAGGCGGTGCAATCGCGATGGGGACCCAAGCGCCGTATGGCCAGAGAGGACCGTCAACTGCGGCGCGAGGCCTGGGGACGAGATGCATAGTGGTAGCATGATCCAACTCACAGGAAAGGGTCTGTTTTGTAAAGAAAAACCATGTATTCTAGCTTATTTTCTAGCATTGTTTATGTATTCCATACCAAATTTTCTACTTAAGAGCTATATAGGATAACTATCAAGGTAAAAAGCTATAAAATATCGAAAATAATATATATATATATATATGTGTCTCAGTTCAAAAACAGCCTAACAGCCCCTAACAGGTCCTTGTCACATCGCTACTGTGTGATAGGACCAAAAAAAAAATTACGTGATAAGAAGTCACCTCTGGACTCTCTCCGGTTACCTCAGGGCAAAGACGGCAATGCCCCTCTTTCCCCTCCGTCGTGTTCCTTTCAAACTTGCTCTTTCTCGATTTTCTCCAGTTCGTTCTCCTCTCTCCTCTCGCCGTTTCTTCTACGGCTATATCAGTGATTCCAAAATGGCGCCCCAGTTAGAGCCCTTTTTCAAGCAGTAAGTATGCTAATCTCTATAAAAAAAAAAGACATCAACTGACAGTCAAAATAGGGTCGACGACTCGTCCAACGATTTCATCGAGCGTATGTAATACTGGTTTTCTCGCAAAGTCCTCGCTGATTCTGGTCAAGGTCTACGGAAGGCGGTTGCCATCCCATCTGTCTCGGCGCAAGATGAGAACCGACCGGATGTGTTCCGCGTGAGTTGTTTCCAGCAGACACACACAAACCCAGGGTCTAATCTTTCTAGATGGGACAATTCCTTGCCGACGAGCTCACAGCTCTTGGAGCCGAGGTCGAGCAACGACCATTGGGCAAGCAGCCTGGCAAAGAGCACCTCGAGCTGCCACCCGTGGTGATTGCGAGATACGGTAACGATAAGAACAAGCGCACTATTCTGGTTTACGGACACTACGACGTGCAGCCTGCTCTGAAGGAAGACGGCTGGGCCACCGAGCCCTTTGAGTTGACCATTGACGAGAAGGATCGGATGTATGGCCGTGGCTCTACCGATGACAAGGGTCCCGTTCTAGGCTGGCTCAATGTCATCGATGCCCACCGCAAGGCTGGTATCGAGTTCCCCGTCAACTTGTTGTGCTGCTTCGAAGGAATGGAAGAGTATGGATCTGAGGGTCTGGATGACTTCATTGAGGCTGAGAGCAAGAAGTACTTCAAGGATACGGACGCCGTTTGTATCTCCGACAACTACTGGCTCGGCACTGAGAAGCCCTGCCTCACCTACGGTCTGCGCGGCTGCAACTACTATTCCATCAGCATTTCGGGCCCCGCTCAAGATCTGCACAGTGGTGTCTTTGGCGGCTCTGCCCACGAGCCCATGACTGATCTGGTCAACGTCCTGTCCAAGCTGGTTGACGCCCAGGGTAACATTCTGATTCCGGGTCTCATGGATCTGGTGGCTCCCCTGACTGAGGAGGAGCAGACTCTCTATGGTAACATCAGCTACACTATGGACAACCTCCACGAGTCATTGGGTGCCGAGACAGGTATCCACCCCACCAAGGAGCGTACTTTGATGGCCAGATGGCGTTACCCCTCTCTGTCCATCCACGGTGTCGAGGGTGCTTACTCCGCCCCCGGTGCTAAGACGGTCATTCCCGCCAAGGTTATTGGTAAATTCTCTATCCGTACCGTCCCCAACATGGAGAGCGAAGATGTGAACAAGCTGGTCTTCGACCATATCAAGGCCGAGTTCGCCAAGCTGAACAGCAAGAACACTTTGGATGTTTGGCTGCAGCACGACGGCAAGTGGTGGGTCGCCAGCCCCAAGCACTGGAACTTCTCGGCTGCCGGAAAGGCTGTTCAGCAGGTCTTCGGAGTCGAGCCTGATATGACTCGCGAGGGTGGAAGGTAGGACTCTTTTTTTTTCCCCCAAAAAAAAATAGTTTCGCAGCTAACCATTGATAGTATTCCTGTCACATTGACCTTCGAGCAAGCCACCGGCAAGAACGTCTTGCTTCTCCCCATGGGAAGCTCGACTGATGCTGCCCACTCTGTCAACGAGAAGCTTGACAAGAGAAACTACATCGAGGGAACCAAGCTGCTGGGAGCTTACCTGCACTACGTTGCGGAAGAGCCTACCTCTTCATAGATATAATCATAAATACAAATTTTATCTGCTAATTTAGCAGTCGTCTTACCAAAATGCAAGCCATTTAATCCCAGTCAATTTTGGAATAATATATATATTACCACACAAGGACCTAGGAAGGGAGTATATACTATCCCCATATTCGAAAAGGGTTGATTACTTATAGCGCTACTTAGGTAGGGGGAATATAGAGAACCCATTGAAGCACACACAACTCCAAAGGATGACTAGTCAAACAGCCATCAACAAGGAAAGTCTAAGAAAATGAAAATGCATCAATCGCTATAGGGGCGCTCGAGAATTCCAACGCAGACACCAAGTAGACAAATACGAGCAAGGGACTAAATCAAGAGCAAGACGCCGTCAAGTGCAGAACAATTCGAGATTAGTTGCTATATATCCGTTAGTACCCTGTTCAGGAATCAGTAAAAAGGGACAACTTACTAGATCTCCAGAGGAGAAATCTGATCCAAAGCATAGAGCCAGTTTCCACCTTGCTCCTCTTTCTCGAGCCTGTAAATAGAATTCGTCAGTGGATATGTCCTCAGGTCCAATGGGAGCAAAGTTGAGACATACCAGTCATAAGGCCACAAGATGAGATGGCCTTGAGTATTGTTAAGGAGGTCCTCCGCATGGCCCTTATCCAAATACTCATCTGTGCCATGGGGGTCACGCTTCGAGCCAATGGTTGTAGCTCTGCGTCTACGTCTCCGAGACTGGCTCGTCGAGTTCAGATTCAGGTTCACGGCTTCAGAGTAATCGACATGAGCCGGGCTTGTTCGTGACTTCTCGGTATCCTCGCCGGCGACGACGCCATTGTCATCGCTGGTCCCATTCGAAACATTGGCCAACAGACTCGGATCCGACACTGTCTTGAGTGCGGCCTTCTCATCGATAGATGATAGCGTCTCCTGCTTCGCTAGCTGCTCAGACTGAGGACGACCAGCTTCGTTCCCAGTTCCGACCTTCTCGTCAATTGTCTGGGGGCTCTTCGGGTCTGCCTGTGGTCCTTCGGGTCTTGGGGTGATGAAAGACATCTGAGAAGCGATCGACATAGGAGAGCTGACCGTAGCACCGGCCGGGGGATGGCCACTTTGTTTTTGTTGAGGTTGGGCTGGCTTGTTGCCCTGTTGGCTCTGCACCTCTGCAAAGCGCTCGCCATATGTGGCATACTCCTTGTATTCCTTCCAGTTCTTCACCTCGCTGTCGGGCATGCAGCGGAACACAGATCGGTAAATTTTGGTGTTCTTCTCGGCGACGGCTTGCCATGTGTCCAGGTAGAAGCCATCGATGAGCGGGTCTCTCATGCAGTCGTTATCGATGAAGATACGCTTGAGGTCAGGAACAGACGGGTGGTGGTGCTTAGGGGTTTCATTCTCTTCTCTAGGCATGTTCAAACCGGTACCGCTAGTCTCGGACTCGCGGCTCGATGATCCAGTAACTCCATGGCCTTGTGACGGTGTACTCGCATTGGTCTCGGAGATGGGATTTGTCTCACTCGATGACCCAGGTCCGCGGTCCTTGCGGGTCGAGGGTGTTCGAGAGGGCTTTTGCTGCGATGATCTCGGTCGCTCAATAGTACCCCTCCCCTCAGGAGCGATGGGTGAAAGCAGGGCTTCTCTTCCATTGGCCTCTATATCCGAATCACGACCAACTGCTAACCCGGCCCGGACAGCGGCTGTCAGATGATCGGGGCCATCACCTTCCACGTCTTTCCTGTGGTCGGGATTTTCAGTGACGCGAGCGTCGGTAGTGAGCTTGCGGTTCGATTTGAGATTAGGGTTACCACCCTGCTCCCAATCGACATCGTGGTTGAAGCTATACATGTCCTCAGAGCGAGAAAGGAACTCGTCCTGGACACGATGCCGACGTTCGACCATCTCCCTCTCATCTTGTCGTTCAATGGCCGAGGACGCCGAATTTCTTCGCTCTCGGTTGTCAACTGGATGCTCACTCCCTTCGGCGACCTGGATCTTGCGTAGCTCTTCTTCAGTAGCAAAGTCATGTTCCATGAGTTCGTCGACATCAATCCCGAGATGTTCTCTCATCAGACGCATACGCAAGGTATGTGGGAATCGACCAACAAGGTATGGCTTGCCATTCATGCTCGACATGATCATATCGGTGTCTCGCACGATAGATGCAACCTCTGAATCACGCGAACCCAACATAGATCGTTCGTTAATGTTTGCTGATCCAATGATAGCAGCGCGATCATCAACGACCATGCATTTGGCGTGAATATAAAGTTGCTCAGTCACCAGTGCCTTTTGCGGTCCAATCTTGCCCCAAGTTCGCAGACTGTAGAACTGGATATAATCCTCTGGCTCGATTCCAAGCGCACGAAGACGGCCGAAAATGGATGTCTCTCCACGGCAGATACTGCGGTATTGACACTGCATGATAAGGCGAACACTTGTTCCACCTTCACTGTCCACAGTGTTCTGGAAGCCTGGCATCAATGGGATGACAATGACGGCGCGCCATGCTTCCTCATTTTTGGCAGCTCGGACAATACGTTCAACTAGGGCATCTCCAATGAGGTTCTCGATCTTCCGGCCCTCAATCTCGCAGGTGCTGATGAAGAACTGATTCTCGATGTAGACGAAATGCTCGGATTCCTCAATCAACTTCACATAGGCATTCATGATGCTGTGCTCGACGACATCGGGTGTTCCTGTCGACCACATGCTGCTAGAACGGAGAATTTGTACCTCACAAGTTCCATCAAGACCCAAAGCTTCCAAATCAGCGGGATTGAAATCGGGCGGCGGCAAGAGGAAGGGCGTCGGCCGCGTGGGCTTTCGCTGACGAAGAATGTAGTTCCAGCGTTGGACGAAATGACGAGTAAGATCCCGAGCAGGCTGGCCCACGACATGCATAGAAATGTCATGCCACGGCATCCGGGGCACAACATTGCGATCATACATCTCCTCATACGGCTTATCCAGGTCATAGAAATCTTGGATTCTAGGATTGGAGTAGTCCTTGCCCGGCCACAGTTGACAATGGTCTGCGTCTTTAGGACCATCAGTAGTTTCAAAGCCAGTAGGCTTGTCATCGGTCAATTGATGCTGAGGAGTATCCCAACGCCCGAAGCACAGATCGATACCTCCAACAAAAGCGATAGTGTGGTCGATGAGACAAAGCTTCTCGTGGTGGGCCCAAAAGAAAGTATTTTGGCGGAACTGATTTGGTGATCTCTGAACGAAGATATTGGGGTGAAGGTCAAGGAGAGAGAACTTGGAATACTCCGAGTCAATGGGAATTGCCGAGTTGATGTTGCGATACATGATCACGAAGACTTTGACACCTTCCCGAGCTTTCTGCTGCAGGAGACGATCCAATCGCCATTTCTGGCTGATGGCAGCAGGCCGACGCATGTAAAGCTCTGGACTCAGCCACCAGTCATGGATATAGATGACATCCTTCGCCTGGTTGATTGCTCGTGAGACAACCCACATGTGATCTCGTGCATCAACCAGCCACTGCGCAAAGCAGTTTTGTCGCACAGGCGCGAAACTGTCGAACCGGTTGGGGCGCATCCACGGAGTATTGGAAACCATGAAGCGGATCGAGTCTTCAAACTGTTGGAGTTGACGCTCATTCCGAGCCAGCAGTTTGAGCTTGCGTTCAGAATTCTCAAGTCGGAGAGTGTGGTGCTGAGGGTGTCTCGCAGACTGCTTTGCAGACTTGGCAAGATCCTTTGGATTTTGCTTGCGAAGACTAAGCTTTGGTGTCTGAATCTTGAAATGGGCATCCACCAAGAAGACATCATAAATATTCATCTCCTCGGGGGAGTCCACGCAGACTACATAGCTGTGTCTGACCAGAAACCACTTGGGCGAATGGCGCTTCTTAACCAGAGACGGGGTTAGTGCCTTCCGGAAATCAAGACCCTTGGAGGACTGGATTATCAGGAATCCTTCTTTGCCATGGTAGCTGCCTTCTGCGGCCAGACGAACACCGAGAGCGGACAGTTCCAAAAACTTGCACAGGCGATTGCTGTCAGCCCTAAAGATCAGGAACCTAATCATCTTTTGCAGATAGAGCTCAAGCTTCTTTCGCTGCTTCCCAGGGTATGTTTCTTTCCTGGCTCCCGAGACACCTTCATGGGTGGATGAAGGTCCTGCGGCTGAGTCTCCTTCTTGATTGGTGATGCTGGACTTTCTGCGAGCAAGCGGGCCAGAGACCCGACGCTGGTGTGGTTGTTGGTTCTGCTTTTTCTTCGTCGGAGGCCTCTCTGTTCCACTCATTCCCTCCGCACCAGTCTCATAACCACCTTCTTCATCTTCATCCTCGAATTCACTTTCAAGGCCTCGCACACCTCGCATGTAGGGGAAGGCACTTCTAGGGAATCTGGGGAGACTCGGGCTGTTCTCACTCGTGCGTAGCTGGATGTACTTCTGAGTTCCCAGATGAAGCTTGTACTTGAGATGCAGATTGGCAAAGTCCCTTAGCGTACGGAAGATGATCCACTTCATGCGAGTCATGCCACTTCCATACTCCATTTCGATTCGGAAGACCAGATGACGGTCACCGGAGTGGGAATCGATCCTGCTATCCGTAACACGAACCTTCAATTGTTCCAAAAGAATCGGGATTCTTCTGCTGCCGTGCTCATCTCGTTGGAACGCGCTGGCCAGTATAAGCACAGCCGGCACGGCCGAAGCGAGTTCAGCAAGCAACTCTGCGGATTTTTTATTGTCCACTGTATTATCTGGCCTTCGTCGCTGCCCAATGAGTTTCAGACCAGCTTTGATTTGCTTCCATCGCTGAGCACTGGCACTAGTGCCTCGCTCAGTTCGATGGCGTCTCCAGCTCGCTGTTAGACTTTCATCGTTTCCAGATGGTCCGGCAAACCCGGTCAATCGCCTCAAATTGCTCGGGCGCTGTTCATCCGGATTAGCATCTGGGCGGTCAGTATAGCTGTCAACCCGAGTATTTGCCCATGGGCGGCTCCTCATCCGCCGGCTGAGCCTCTCACGGCCTTCATCTTCTGAAACCCCCTCGCGCTGTTGAGGTGTGAAGTCTGTAGTGCTTGCTCTTCGGGGGAACAGATTAGTGCGGTAGTTCTCGAAAGGTGCGAAGGAGGATGAGAAGTGGAATGATGGTCTGCGCGTTGTTTTAGGCGTTGTAGGGGCGGTGTTGGAGCCAGCTTCTTCTTCCCGTTGCTTCCGCCGCCGTTGCGTTTTTCTCTTTTCACGAGGATCATGTTGCTCGCCGCCGCTCTCTTCCGCATCGGCATCGATCTCGCTGCCCTCTTCTTCCAGGGGCTCTGGAAAGCGGAACTCCCCCTTTCCGACCCCGGCGTGGCTATATCGCCTGGAGCTGAGCGGAAGTCCGTGCTCGCGCCGCTGGGAGATCGTGAGTGTGACGCAAAATTGGGTGCAGTAGCGAGTAACTTCAATTTTCCGAACAACGACTGCTTTCCTTTGGGACCCTGATCATCATCTTCGCCGTGTTGGGAGGCGGGTCGAGAGGGGGTCGGGATTGCGGCCGGGAGTGGGACGGGTCGGGAGCCTCGGTGTCTGTATCTCTGAATTGTACACTTTGAGCACGGGATGGAGGGGACATCCCGGGGTTAGACGACTGGCGTTGATGGCGACTCCATGGTTGCTGGTCCTCGGCTGACCGGTTTGGCGGTCGAGTGCTCAGGGATGACCTGCCCCTCGGTGAGCCATGCTTCACGGATGATTGATGCGCATTTTCCTTGTCACCCAATATTCCACCTGTATCCTGATCGTCCGTGGGCTGGGTCTGGTTGATCGAGATCGGTTTCTTGGATTCGGTGGGAGAAGGCAACGGGGATGCCAATTTTGATTTGTTTGAAGCCAAAAGGGGCTCTTGTTTCTTTGTGTCGACCTTCAGTGAGCCAGTTTCCACATCCTTGTGAATTGAAGAGGCCGACATGTTTGGATTCTGGGGCTAATGCAAGGTGATTATCAGTTGCAGTTCACGGGGTCAACCACGTTTACTTTGTACATACTCAATACACTGTCGAAGATGACTATGTAGTGATCATTGTCATCACTAGGATTAAAAACGAGAAAATCCAGGGGAATAAAGAACGTGTGTTGACATTAAAAGGAGCATAGATAAATTAGTTTACAGTGGAGTTCCCAGCTGCTCTCCGACTGGAGAAGAAGCGGGCGGTCAGTCTGGAAAAGGGGGTGACCACTGCACTTTCGGGCATGCTATTAGTGGAGTATCTACGGAGTACGGAGTACATATCTAATATTTAGTATGGAGTATGAAGTATGAAGTATAGAATGGGAAATATTGAATTGAATTTGACTGAATCCAAAGGAGTTTCTTCTGTAATATCAAGCAAACTGGCCATATATAGCCTCAATCGAGGACCTTGGAGTAACGCGCTGGAATTCAAATATATAAATATATAAAAAAGAAAGGATTAACTTGCAACAATAAAGAGAAAACAGAGACCTATATAACGGAGTACTCCATAATAGTCTCGGAACTATGTTAACCTTGGAAGTATATAAAGCGAAGGCCTCGGCTTTTGCGTAGTATACCCGAGTCGCCTTTAAAGAGATACCCATTTATCTCCCCGCTATTTAACCCACCTCTCTTCAACATATTTCATATTATATTTGGTATTCTTCATACCTGCTCAACCATCATGACTGATCCATTAAAGACCTTGAACGATTCAGGCAGGCCCATACCGGCCGCCATCTCCCAGAAGGTCTACGCAATTGCTGGCATCTCAGTAACGGTCTTTGGACTAGAAGAGCTCCGCAAAGAGGCCTCGGAGGTCGCATGTCTCTGGCTTCTTCACCCCAGATTAGCCACCCAGGAGCGTATGACCGGCATTGCCAACTCCGCCATCACCGACTGGAACACTAGAAACCAGGACACACCTTCGGCCAAGGGCTTGATTGGTGTCTCGTTCGATCAGCGAAATCATGGTACCCGGATTGTCGACCCTCTTGCCAATGAGTCTTGGAAAAAGGGGAACCCCCGACATGCCCAGGATATGTTCTCCATCTTCCGTGAGTGAAAGAATTTGTAAAATAAGATATAAGATTCTAACTATAACTAGAGGGCACTGCAAGAGATACATCCGTGCTCATGGACTACCTTCCCTCCTACACATTCCCCAGTGGTGAGCATAAGATCACCGAGAACCTAGTTCTAGGAGTCTCACTGGGCGGACACGCAGCATGGAGCTGTCTACTGCACGAGCCTCGAGTTACCGCCGGGGTCGTCATCATCGGCTGTCCGGACTATATCAATCTGATGGCAGACCGTGCACGGCTGTCGAAACTGCCATCATGGACTAAGAGTGACCCGCCTGGTGCTGAGGTCCTCGGCTCAGAAGCCCTGCCGACTTCTTTCCTAGAGACCGTCAACCGATATGACCCTGCCGGTATGATGCTGAAGCATGTGGATTGCGGGCCATCGACTGGTCCTTTGCGCGAAGGCCCGTTGCCTCAGCCTTCAGAAATCGAGCAGCAGGTGCTCCGGCCACTTCTGACTCGTGCCTTGGCTGGCAAGCGCATTTTGAATCTGTCTGGCGGCAAGGACAAGCTTGTTCCCTATCATCGTGGAGAATTGTTCCTCAACTGGTTCAAGCAGACTATCTCGTCCGATGGGTGGTTCGGTGATGGTGCGGTGTCCTTTGAAGATATCATTGATCGGACGGCGGCCCATGAAGTCACTCCTAAGATGGCTGACGAGGCTGTTCGGTTTATCAGTGAGACGTTGGCCGCAGGTCCCGATAAGGCCGATCGACGGGGTTCGGTGCGAGAGTCAAAGATCTGAGCACTAGGCCATGGTGGTAAATGTTTCAGTGTCTACAACATAGAATGAGATTAGATGTGATATGACAAGACCTATGACTTGCGTAGTTTTGCAATCGTAATCGGACAGGTTGGTAAGACCCCAAATCTACGAAGATGACCGTAGCTTTAACAGCGAACCTGCGCAGTAACCATGGGAAGCCTTTCATGCCCCGACCAAGGCAGCCTCGGTCATCCTACATGAGCGTGGCTCAATAATTCAGAACCAACACTCTGCCCTCCAAGAGTCATGACAATGGGCATGAACCACAAACATTTGAAAAAAATCCTCCTTATGGTATTTGTTTAACACACTGATGAAATCGTAAGGGCATTCGGAGGCCATATGCTATGCTGATTGCATACAAAAAAACCCTTTTTATTTTCGACCGCCCGGACCGACTTGGTTTCGGTTCGGGCAGATCTCATTTTGAGTTCCGATCGTCCTCCATGCTGGCGAACGAACACAGCTAGGGCTTCAAATTGCCCCTATTCACCCGCCTTCTCCAGAAATTTCTCGACGAATCAACGCTTATGCGACGAGCTCAACAACACCACCGGCGGCCTTGATCTTCTCCTCGGCGTCACGGCTGACGTAGCGGGCACGGACGACGACGGGGATCTGGGGGAGACGGCCCTTTCCAAGAACCTTGGAGTAGCCGAGGGGCAGGAGGTCGATGACGGGGGCGACATCGGTCTTCTGGCCGCTCAGGTAGGCGTCACGCTGCTCAGCGGGGACGAGGGACCAGAGCTGAAAAAAGAAAGTCGCAGTCAGCGATAATTGTCCTTCTCAACGAAATTCCGTAATTCTTCATATTCTTGTCGATTGGTCTCCCTCCTCTTTTCATATTGTCGCCATTTGCGCACCTCCACACCCAGACCTATGACCAATCCACATTTTCTTCTCCTTCATATCGAATCGACTCGCAAGATGTAGATGTAACGTACCTTATCGACGTTGATGGTGGGCTTCCAGAACTGCTGGTTGGTCTTGTGGAAGTAACGCATACCAACCTTACCGAAGTAACCAGGGTGGAACTTGTCGATGTTGGTACGGTGGTGGTGCTGACCACCGGCCATACCGCGACCACCGGGGGACTTGCGGTGCTTGCCGACACGACCGTAACCGGCAGACACATGGCCGCGGCTGTGAGAGAATGAGAGGTTAGTGATATGTTGATGTGATATTGCGACTGGGCTATGACGAATTTGGCTCTTCTGGTCGCGATCGACGAGAAAAGAATTCGATTCAGACGGCACAGGAAAGGGTGTCGACTCACTGCTTCCGGGTGTTCGAGAAACGGGTAGGCATCTTGTCGGCGGGGGTGTTTCGACAAGACCGTTGATGTTTGGCGTTGAAGGGATCGTTCCGTCTACAGGATGTTGAAATCCAGGCTTAGAGTGTGCGCTAACAAATTCGCTTGTCCCGTGATCGTGGAACCCTAGCCCTGGCTTTGTCAGAACTTATGTCATGTAAACACACCGCCTTATCTCCATTCTGCCGGTCTTTTACAATTTAGGGCTTTGGTACATCTACGCATGCCAAACATCTCTAATGAGCACGAATTTTATGTAAAAATATGACGCTATATCATATAGTGTTTTTATTTACAGTGCCTATCGCGCTATCGCCTTTTTTCGGCGAAGAATTTTGAAAGTCTTTGCACGGTCATCTGAGCCGCCCGCGTGGGAGGTGCTGGGACCAAGCTCCCTCTAATCCAACCAGGTAATTTTTGCTGGATCCGCGGCGACTCATACCGGCGGTCGATCATGATGATAGCGGCGTAGTCGTTCACATGCCTGATGGCTCGACCAATGCACTGGTTCACTGCTCGCATGCACGTATTCTCGTAAAAGTCCCTGCCCGCTGCCTTGCCTGCTGCTTTCCTTTCCGGTTCGGACCCAGAAGCCTGTTTGTAGGTCTTCTCCTCGAGATACTGGATCTTGGCCTGCCAGACAGCGCTGCGGATATTGGGAAATGGCAGGCCGATGATAAAGACGCCGCGCCCTAACCTGTCGGAGAAATTAATGCCTTCCGACAACTTGCCGCCCACGATAGACAGAAGCAAGGCTCCTGATCCTGATTCAATGGCCTCGGTATACTCCCGCAGCAAATCGTCTGTAGCTATCACCGCTTCACGAGATTCGTAGAGTATCTTCTTCTTCCGTTCCAGTAGATTGAGAGTGCTTTGGCCGTTCCCGTTGAGAATGGGCTTCTTCCAGACACTCAGAACATGACTGAGATAGTCATAACTGGGGAAGAACGCGACGACACCGTCTGGGATAACTTGACAGAGGGTTGCTATCGTACGCCCAAGGTCGGTGATCTAGGTTGATGTGTAAATAACAAAACTTTTCGAAGCTCGGAATCTAGTACATACCATTTTTTCGGAATTTCGCGCCTCATATGTAAAATCAAATTCGTTTCCCATCAGCCCTTGAGTCAAGGACTGCGCCACCAAGTTGGATTTTGGAATGACGTGGCCATAGCTGAATGTCCCTAGTCGTTCCGGGGGCAGATACGAAAACAAATGATTCACATAATCTGACATCTGTTGAGAGCATTAGAGAGTTACAATGTCAGAAGATATGAGCCGAACTTACAGGAGACATAGTACCGCCAGCTAGGATAACAGCCCTAGCATCTTCGGCAATTTCCCGAAAGTGGTTCGTAGGGTCAAGAAGCATGTATTTCAACAAAACAGCGTCTTGAATTTTCTGAAAGAAGAGCCGCCCCTCTTCCGAAGGGTTCATAAGAGGAAGAAGAAAGCTTTGAATATGAAACAAAACTGGCATTGTTGTCTTATCCTTGGGCCGACCAGGTTGTGGCTGTTGCGAGGATTCAAGATAGCCGTCAACTTTCCGGGCGAGCTTGCTCTCTTGTAGATATCTAGCGAGCTTATAAGGGTTGATCTGGTCAACTCCCTTTCCAGCCATGAGATCTGACGTTTGCACCGAGCCTTCCAGTGGTCCCTTTTGCTGAGAGATTGACTTCATATGCTCCGCAATGGAGCTCACCAACCGGATGACTTGCGCAACATAGTTCCGATTCTTCCCTTTTAGTCTGTTCTTGAACTTGCGGGCATATGTTGTCAGCTGCCCGATGGCAGTCTGCAGTTGACTTAGTGAGACAGTCACCGAATGGATGCCAGCTATTGCATCCATGAGGTTGTGGGCTTCATCGATGATGACAATATGACCTTTGACGGAGAGGTTGAGGGCCTCACGGGCTGATCTTTGCAGCAGCAAGGGATATGGAAGTGTAACGATCTAGTCTTGGGTTAGAGCCGACGTTATACCTATCCCTGGGTGACACTGACCTCGCTGTGTTTGATAACTGGACGAGATGCATAGTAGGGACATATTCCGAGCTTTTTCCCAACCTGGGCAATGTCTTCGATGTCCTTAACTGTCGCCAAGGCATGGTCTCTGAACTTAAGAGCCAGAGCCTCGTCGTCTTTGGAGGGAATAAAGGAGCACTTTTTGTCGGCTGCTACACCCGCTTGCTGTAAATCCAAACACTTTTCGTTAATTGCGGTGTTGTTCTCCAAGGCCCGGACTTTGGGGTTGATACACAGGTTCTTTCTGGATCCTAGCGACAGGTGTTTCACACGCTCTTCGAGCTTGGAGATGTCATCTTTGCTCTCTGGATCGAGGTCGCTAGGTATACTAGATGGGAAGCTGACTCGTCGCAATTCACCGGCAAACTGGCTTAGCTGTGAATGTGTTCTTGAGCAAAAGAAGATCTTGATCTCATCGTCTTCGTCATCCTCTTTATCTTTCTTTGTTGAGAACTTCCCTTGAAACCGTTCTAGCAAGGCTAAAGTGCTTGCAGACAGGCCGTCGGAATTCCCTGAGTCATTCTGCTTTTTCTGATTGTCTGTGTCGCTATCATAGTCATCGAGAACAAATTGATCGTCGTCGTCGACAAGTTCCGGTGCTGAGTCGTCAAGTCGCTATTTTCTAGTTGGTATAGTGTTCTTGCATCGATCGGGGAATATATGCATACCTGCTTTTTACGGGGTCGGTCTGCACTGTCCTGGGCCTGTTTCAAACGCTCTTCCTCTTGTCGAATTTTGGCCAGTCGGGCCTCGAATTCTTGTCTCTTTTCGGTAATAGCACGCCTAGATTCCCGTTTGGCATGTTCTATCATCCACTCGGGCTCATCGTCATCGCCTGGAATGTCAGACAGCTGACACTATGTAGTCATATGTTTCACACTGGGACCCACATGTTGCATCAACGGTTTCTTGGAAAGCCTTTCGCTTGTGATCTCGAAGCCAGGTCAAAGAACCACAGATTAAGCTTAGAGATTTTCCAGTACCTGTACAATATCATATTAGTAAAATAAAAAAAATAAAAAATAAATAAAAAGGAAATGATAGAATAAACACAGTTAGTTCGATCTTACCAGTGGGGGATTCAAATACAGCGATCTTGCTATCTTCTAGGCAGGCATACAAGGCCTGCATAAATTGTAGTTGAATATCGTATGGCGTATAGGGATGGTGGAAATCCATGGAGATGACATCCAGTAAGGAAGGAGGATACGAGAGGTGTATTAGTACGGAGTACTATAGTCTCGAAAAGGAAAGGAAAAGATAAAAAAAATAAAACGGAGTTTGTAAGGCAGAAGGGAAAAGATTGGAAAAAGGGGAAATAATTTGGTTTTGCAAATACAACCTTGGAAACAGTTATTTACATTATACATCCTATGGATAACTAGTACTGGCTTATACTTGTCCTATGTATCCAATGAGGCTGAGCCGAAATATATGTATACTACGGACAAGCTTAAAGATCTTGTTACCTACATATGTAGGTATATTTCAATTTACTACACTAAAATACTATTAATACTACTATTAATACTATTAATAACTCTTATTCACGTTTGACCTGGCGGGGGTGGGGTCTACTTTTTTTCCCTTAAACCACTTTGAACTCCTCTTTTCATTTCCCCCTCTTTCTTGACATTCGACTTGGACTATTGACAGGGGATTGGACAATTTCCCTAACAAAATTACAATGAACAGACCACCACAGGGTGGTCAGCAACGCTTAGGTGCAACATGGTATCCAGGGGGGCAAGATGACTTCTACATGCCAGAGGTCATATCCCCATCTCCTCAAAGGTATGATTTGAATTCACATCTTCTAGGAAGTTCTGCGGTTTCTGCAAATCCTGAAAATGACAAAAATACGAGTACTAATTCATCCTAGAGTGATGCCAGAAGTGCCCGAGAACATGCAGGACAATATTGCTGAGATGGAATACCACGCTGACCCCCGCCGCGGTCAACAACAACCGCAATACCAACGCGCCCACACCTATCCCGAGCGCACTTCTTCCGCCGTCCAAGGTCCACCCCAACACAGTCAGGTTCACGATCCCAGTTCCTACGCGCAATCCGCGACATATGACAGCATGGATCACCCCAACTTCTCACCGTTCCCGGTCTTGCGGAACCCACCACCTAACGTCCCGCCCACCGATGAACAGAGAGAAGCGAACCTAGAGCGCGCGCGGATGGCCGTGCTGTCCACTACAGACCCGGAGATGCAACTCGCATGGGCCTTGGATGCACTCGCCTTTGTCGAGGTCGCCGCGCAGAACGATGTCCGCCTCTGTTTGACCCAACCGCCACGCCCGCAAACCCCGCAGGTGGAGCGGCAGCTGAGAGTTGACGCGATGAACATTGTCAGCTTTCTCGCCGAGCAGCGCCATCCCAAAGCGGAATTCATCAAGGGCATGTGGCTCGAGTTTGGCAAATTTGGCTGCCCTGTAGATCGCAAGGAGGCATTCCGATCATACTCCCGAGCCGCCGAGAAGGGATATGCGCGTGCTGAATACCGGATCGGAATGCAGTTTGAGAGCTCGGGCGAGCCGGAGAAGGCGATCAAACATTACCAGCGGGGTGTTGCGCGGGCAGATTCTGCCTCGTACTATGTGGGTTATCAGATACACTGGACCGGATAGTGGAGACACTAACATACTTGCAGCGCCTGGGAATGATGATTCTTTTGGGTCAGCATGGACAGCACCAGGATTTCAATACTGGGTTGGAATACATCCGGCTGGCGGCACAGTCATGCGACCAGAACGCACCGCAAGGTGCATACGTGAGTTCTATATATATTTTACCTTGGAAATCATTCTAATGGAGAAAAGGTATACGGCATGCTCTTGGCTCGAGAGCTCCCTCAAGTGAGCGTCCCGGAAAGCTTCCTACCCCTTGATCTGAACCTGGCACGTGTCAATATCGAAAAGGCGGCATATCACGGGTTCGCCAAGGCTCAGGTCAAGATGGGTGCTGCATATGAACTCTGTCAGTTGAGCTGTGATTTCAACCCCGCGCTATCGCTGCACTACAATGCACTGGCAGCCCGCCAGGGCGAGCCCGAAGCCGAGATGGCGATCAGCAAATGGTTCCTGTGTGGACATGAGGGTATCTTTGAGAAGAACGACGAGCTGGCATTTACATATGCCCAGCGCGCGGCTCAGAGTGGTCTTCCCACGGCTGAATTCGCCCTGGGCTACTTCTATGAGGTTGGTATCTTTGTGCCGGTGGACATCAAGGAAGCCCGCTCTTGGTATGCCAAGGCCGCTGCCAGTGGTAACAAGGATGCATCTGGTCGGATTGAAAGTATCTCGCGCTCAAAGACTCTGTCCAGAAAGGACCATGAAAAGATCGCAATATCACGCATCAAGTCGACACGATATACCGCTCATCAGCGAGGCAATTCACTGGAATCAACCCCAGAGAATATCCAAATGCCAGATCCTTCGAGAATGACCTTGTCTGACGGCCCACCATCTGCGGCTCCTTACCCCGATCGTCCTCACTCTACTCGTCCCCGGCCCCAACAGGGTTATCAGCTGTCAGACACTCGCCCAAGCTCTGCTTTCGGTGTCAACCCCAACCTTCGATCCAATGCACCCTCGGGATATGGTGGCCCACCTCCCCAAGGCCCCCTGAAATCTCGAACTCCGTCCTATGGACCTAACGGACCCGTGAACTACCGCCAGCCTGGCCCTGGAACACCTCTCAGCGCTCCTGCTGGGCCTACAAGCCCGCAGGCTGGTAACACGATCGGTCCTGGCGGGGCTCCTCGTCTCGATATTGGCTATTCTGCACCAATGCCGCCTCCAGGTGGGCGACGGCCACCACCTCGACTTGACTCGGCTCCGGATCGCAAGCCTATGAGACCTCCTGTTTCTAGCCACTCCGGAATGTCCTCACCCGGTGTGGCATCTCCTCGTCCGCCCGGTTCACCCTCGTTCCCTCCACGTATGGAGTCCCGGCAACCATCTCACGGGTCGGGTGCCTCTACACCTCAGCCGGCGCCCTCGGTCGCGTCGTCGACTTCATCCGCGCCGCAACAGAAGCCCGCCAAGCCACCGAGCAAGGGACCCAAGACCTTTGAAGAGATGGGTGTTCCTAGTGCGAATAAAGACAGTGATTGCGTATGTAAACCCTACTTTTCGGCCATTGATCTCGAACCCTAGCTGACTTTTGCAGATTGTGATGTGATACCCCGGCCTCTGTTCCCTTTTTATCCAAGCACGTTTGGCTGTCTCCCTTCAACTTTGTGCATTTTCTCTACTTTCTATAATCTCGGGGTTTCAAAAGTTGTCGCCGTCCGGGAGGCGAATGGTCTCAATGGGTCTCCTTGTTTCCACATAACTGCATTTGCACCCATTTCATTTCTACCTTGAGCTTTTTTTTCCCCCCTGGACATATTATCATTCGGGTTGTAAGTTTGAGCATGAATTAGATATCAGGAGTAGTTGTGAATTTATTGTATTCATTCTGGAAAGCTCAAAACTCTTCTTTGTAGTTGTCACTTTCTTCCACGTGAGGAACTTCATCTACTTGTACCAACTCAGTGCAACTCAGTGCAACATCTTACCAATCATCACATCATGGCCCCTCGTAAGCCCAAGAGTGATGCATCTGCTGGAGATGATGGTTAGATATTCTCTTGATCAAATCCTCGACGCTGACCTGCTGACCTTGGCCCTCGTAAAGATACTTCAATGATTCGGGAATACCTTCGTGAGTATCCGGACAGTATCTGGACCTTGTCATATGTTTGCTCAATGACTGACTCGACGAGTTTGCAGGCCAGCAAAAGTACGTTGGCTCTGATGAGTTAATTCTATACTCGACATGGTGGCTAACATCGCCTGGCACAGTCGTCCATATTCGGTTCGCTCCTTTCTCGGGATAGCCCTAAGAATAAACCGTTGACCAAGCATTGTTTAGGCGATTGATATTTCTGCAAACCTTCATAATAAGGTGACCAAAAGTAAGACTGGTTTTGTGAGCCTGTCTATGCTTTCCTAATATATGGGTTTCTAGCGCAAGCCGCAAAGGTTCTCCGGGATTTGCATGAGAAGAAAGAGATTGAAGGAAGAGTTTCTGGTTAGTTAGTATACTTGAAGATAGAGACACACTAACCCCAATGACGTATAGGCAAACAGACAGTCTACCATGCTCTACAAGACCCCTCGGATATTGCAACCCCGGAGGTAGCCGCGGCTCTCAAGCTTGACATCGAAAGCCTCGAGAGTGAGATTTCAAATCTGAAGGCAAACGAAAAGAAGGCCCGAGCAGAGTTAGCAGCGCTGCATGCAAAGCCCCGGATATCCGATCTCCGACAGGACATCAGCCGTCTTGAGAATGAGGAATCGACGATCCAGGCTCGTTTAGCAAGTCGCCACAAGGGCGACCCCGTTCAAGTGTCACCAGAAGAAAGAGAAAAGCTCGAAAAAGAATGGAAATATTGGCAACGGCACGCCAACGTGCGCCGTCGGATCTGTCGCGATCTCTGGGGACAATGCTCTGAGGTACTTCCAGAGGACATGACTGCGGCGGAGCTGTGGGTGAGTTTTGAGAATGACGAATGACATAGCCTCTCCAATCGTCAAAGCTCTGGAATTCTGACAAATGTTATCAGGAATCTTTGGGGCTTGAAGGAACGCTCCAATAAGAGATCATCGCGGAGGGGTGATCTCTCTACCTAGTCCCCACTCGGGTCACATCATTTGACACCTACGATGTACACGTTTAGTACGAGAGCTACAAAGGGATTCTAGAGGCTTTAGGGCTATGCATTCTATTTCCGCTGGAGATCTGATTCGCCGGTATGAAGCAGCTCGAGTATGGAATGGAGGCAACGGGGGAGGCGAACCGTAATCAGATGGACATTGTCTTGATGAGAGAGAGGCTGTGGTGAGATTGTATAAGATAATGGTGCTATATATTATCGACTTTAATATTATTTTTAATGCATTTCTACACTCTACAACTTCACACTTCTTCACACTTCCTCACACTTTCTCGAGTGTCGACCTGTGAACATTTGAATCATCTAATATCGATCTTCTCCCCCCACCGCCCGCCGAGCCTATCTCTCTTTCCCCTCTCCAATCTCCAACCCCTCCCACTTCTCTATGCAGGTGTCTACTCGTCCTCCGTCATCTCGTCGAGCCAGTCATTCAGAGATGAGAGGCCGTGCTCCTCTTCCGGTTGCTTCTGGGGTGCCCCAGAATCCTCAGAATGGACATTCTCGCAATCCATCGGCACTTGACGTTGCCCGCAGCCCGCCGAATCAGAGCAATAAGAGTGAGTCTTGACTCGATTCATTCATATCCACTATTCCGGCTGCTTCCAGAATGCGAACTAATCCTTTGCAATCATCTACGTAGACACCAAACATGTTCCTTGCAAATTCTTCCGCCAGGGTGCCTGTCAGGCAGGCCCCGCTTGTCCTTTTTTACACTCCACCGATGCCGGAATTGACTACGCTCCTTGCAAGTATTTTGCAAAGGTATGAAATTGGAACTGTTTCGAAGTTCTCCCTTCGTTCTTCGTTGCGCATTTTCCGAGGCTGTCGGAAGTTAACGGGGCAATGGTTTTTAGGGAAACTGCAAGTTCGGCGCAAAATGCGCACTGGCGCACATTCTACCCGATGGACGGAGAGTCAACCGGCCGACTGGGAACATGGGAATGGGAAGTGGCCACCTTAATCTGGGCGGCCGGGTGAATCCGCAGGCCTATGTCAACCAGGACTCCGCCTTGACCAACTCGGTGCTCTCCCAACAGCGCATGAACGGCCACGAGCAGCCTCGATATGCCCCACAGCTGGCCCCGCAGGAGGAGTATGGATCCCTGCATGGGCAGCAACAGCCATCCTATGATGGAATCCCCACGATCGATACCGGCCTGGCCTCCGATGCCGGATCCAAATATGGATCTCCCGCTGAAGATGTCCGATACCCTATGTCGCCTAATAACAACCACCTTAGCGCTCTCGATGCGGGGCTCCCGGCTTCGTTCGACAGCCAAGGTATCTCTCATGCTGCCCGTTACGGTCCGGTGGCTGCTTCCATGCCCTCGCAATTTGGATTGGAATCGCCGCCACCCCAGAGACCGGGACAAGCAGATGTATTCCGGAACCTGCGCGACATCGGCTATGGTACCAGCTTGCGCAAGCCTTCATCGAATATCGGATCTTCTCCTCCTGCTCCCGAAGATACAGTCGGCACCCGGTTCATGCACTCGTCGCGCCCCGTCAAGCCGCGCATGCTTTCTGCTAGTGTTCCTCGTCCCACAGCCCTTGAGGACTGGGATGAGAACTTCCCTATGGAAGAGGATTACCTACCAGTCAATCTGCACGACGATGTTCTGACCCCGCAGGAAAAGCTGCGCCGTCTCTCCCGAACTGATAACGACCTAAGCTCCAGCCACCGCGACATCAGCGGCCTTGGCATGACCGGCACCAGCTTCTCTAAGACTGGTTCTCCCCTGGCATCGAGCCCGTCTCGGTTTGGTGCATTGTTTGCCAAGCAGCGCCAGCGCAAGGAAGAGGAATCTCATGGCTCTTCCTCTTTCCACATCGGTTCTCCTCTCCGTGAATCATCACTGAACCCAATCACCAGTCCTAGCCTGGGACCCATTGGCAGTAGCCGGGCGTCCCACGAAGGGACGTCGTTTATCTCGAGCCCTGGACGCCAATCCTCAATGTCGATGATTTCTGAGCAGCTCGGCGGCATGGGCCTTCACCCTGGTTCTGCTCGCCAGTCGTCTGCCATTCCTAGCGGTCCTAGCGGTCCTAGCGGCCGCCTTGACCGAATCATCTCCTCTCCTGTCAGCACAAGCAAGATTGAGGAGGAAGAGCAAAGTGACCTGGTCTTCGACATGGAGGAAGAGGTCGGCAACAAGCGGAACAGTGCCTCATGGAGTGAGAACAAAGAAAGTTCCTCCTAATCTGTCCCCTTTGTTTCAGCCAATTTCATCACGACACGTCAAGTCCAAGTCCAACATTGGGACATGTTCATATTCACCAAAAACACAGGAAAAAGGGCATTGGAGTTCAATTGGGCAACATACATCAAAGAGACAAAACAAAAGAAGGGTCCAAGACAAGACGTCCTTTTCTCTCTTCGAGTGAGATATCTGGTTCGGCAAAAACAAAAGGCGACAAACAAAAGTCTTCACATCCCTCTCATCATAGACTGGCACTCAGCATCATCTGCCTTGTTTTATTCCACCGTTTGGAATCATCTAGAACAGTCATATGTGTTTTCTCATTGCTGGGCTTTCAGGGATTTCCCTGACCAGCCATTTACTGTATTAATCTGTCTTTTCTCTGTTTTTATTCGTTTCCATTTCTGGATATCGCACTGTACCTGGGTTGACATATCTCGACTCTTTTTTCCCCTTCATATCTGCTTTTGTTTCATGATTTCACGACCACTGCGATCTCTGGTGTTTCCTAGGTGCTTACTTTGTCTTCTTCTCCCTTGTTCTTTGTCCCCTACTGTCGGAATATGTGGTCCTGATTCTCATGACTGCAGGCATGTACAAACTGGAGATGTGCAAATAAACAATTCCTTGATACTTTTGGAATCATCCAGTAGATAATCATCTAGTAGATATCTTGAGCATGCAGTTTTCTTGACGGACAGTAGGTTGATATATAAATTGTTGCCGAGGGTGAATTGGGATATAGAGAATCACCATCTTCAGTTCGAAGTAACACCAAGTGAAATTCAGTGACAACTGTAGATGAAACCTACATATTCTTCCTACTGACATGTGCATTTACCGATTGGAGAGTATAAAGGGCTAAAAATAAGAATCATTTCATGTTCTACCTAATCATACATATTCCTAAACTAAAATAGAACGCCTTGAAGATTACGCCCTTTGGAACCAAGTCATGAAACCACCCAGTATGTTCACCTTTCTTCTAACTAAGCCTCGTCCAGGTACAAAGCAGTACCTTTCAGATTGACTAAACCATCCTTCGTAGACTGAGCCTGAATCTGCTGCGTCTGTTCCATAGCTTGGCGATCCGCCACGGCAAAACGCTCCCGGGTTCCATCAAGATCCATAGCAGCATCATCCCTAGCTTGATGGAGATATCCATAGAGCTGATCCGTACCGGTAACTACGCGCTGCACCAACGTCTCAAACGCCTTACCAGTAAGCGCCTCGGCACGGCCCGTAAGCTCAGTCTCCACCTCAGCGCGCTGGCGCTTCGCAGCGTCCTCACGTTCCGTCTGTTCATCGGCCAGCTTGCGTTTCCGCTCCTCGACCTTCTTCTGGTGCTCTTCCTTGGTAGCGAGGTATTTGAGGGAATGGCCAAGCTTCTGCTTCGAGGGCGGGATGAAGTCCACCGGCGGCGCGGAGAAGAAGAGCACGCGGCCGTGGTCGTCGCAGTGGAATTGGTCGCGGATGTCTTCTGGGATGGCGGCGTTGGCTGCATCGCTCAGGTGGAAGACTTCCACGGGCCGCGGTGCGTTGGGGTTGTACACGGCTGGCGGGGCTTGCATGCGGTTTTGGGGGTAGCCGGTGTAGGGGGATGGCTGGGCCGCTGAGTATGGCTGGGCCGGTGGTGAGGGCTGGTATGCGCCTGCTGGTGTTTGCGGGGTGGCGAGTTGGCTTGCGCGGCGTTGGAGGGATGCTGTAAAGGCTTGGGATGGGGTCATTTGGTGGAAGCCTGGTGGGCGAATGGGGGCGGGAGTGGTGTGTATGATGATTGGGGGTGCTGGGGTACGTGTTTGGAGTGCAGCACTGCCTGGGCTCATGGCCGTTCTGGGGAGTGATTGGCTCAGTGATTGACGGGGTGCTACAGACTGGGGTAAGGAAGGAGGAGGCGGGGATGGGGTTGGCTCGGGTGGTGGGGATTCCTGGTGTTGTCAGCTTTCCAGGATCTTTTCTCATGTTGTGGAAAAAATACTTACATTCTCATCTCGTGGACGGCGGTGAACAGCGCCGGCAACAGGGGGTGCATTGTCGGTTCCCCAGGTCGGCCGAGGAAGGTCATCGGTCTCCTTGGAATCCTCTTTCAGAAGATGCTTGATCGGACTAGGGATTTTCTTGATCTTGCGCGGTACATCAAAGAGATCCATCTCGTAGTCTTTCTCTCGCACTTCATCTGGCAGACAGCTGGCCCATGTCTTGATCTTATTCAACTTGTGTTTCTCCTCATTGTAGCGAGCCTCGCACACGTATATTTCCTTATCCGGTGCGAGATCTCTTGGGCGACCACGGCTGTAGCGAGTGAAGAACATAACAAAGCAGCGATCCACAATCTCATCAATCCGGTGGTCTCGGTATTGCCCAGTCTTCACAACCTCGTTGGGGTAGAAGTGCTTCTCGAAGTGATGTACTGTCTGCTCAGGACGGTAATACCAACATGCGTTGATCCATTTCTCTCCATCGGAGTCCTGCCAGGTTCGGTAGATCTGTGCAACAATGGGCTTGGTCACATCGTTTTGGTTTTGGATATGAACCCAATCGCCAACCTTCCACAGTTCACCGCGGTGGAGAATACCATCAGGGAGTGGGAAGCGTCCATCTTCCATCAAGAACTCGCTATCAGGCTTCTTCTTTTCTTGCTCGGCCAACTTTCGTGACTCCGTTTGCAGATCAACCGCATCCTTGAAGATCTGACTTTCGGACTGGTTGTAAGCCTTGGCATTTTCGAACATGAGATCAAGGTCGCGCATGAAATGGTCGACAGAGTTGTACTTCTTGCGCTTGGACTTGCGCTTGATAATATCGATGGCGATGGGTTCCTTGGTCTCCATGTAGTAGTCTGGATAAGCGGCTTTGTCGGGGAGGCGTTCAAAGTGTGTGATCTTCAGGTGGCCACCGGCGCCCTTGAACTTCCGAATTCCCTTCAGAATTGTCTTGATGCGGATTTCCATAGGCGTGTCCACGCGGGGAGGACGGCCTCGTTTCTTGCGAAGGTCGGGTTCGTGCTTTTGAGTCAATCCACGCTTGAAGCCGGGCTTGGGACCGGGCTTCTTTCTTCGTCGGCCCTCATCCTCAGAGTCGTCATCCTCATCTTCTTCTTCCTCCTCTTCTTCCTCGTCATCGTCGGGCAGCGGATCAGCCTCTGGGATCTCTCCAAGATCGGGTAGCTCTGCCTCATCAGCGGGGATCAGGCCTTGGGCGGCCAACTTTCTGAACTCCGAGGCGAAAACTTCCTAGAAATTGTTAGTTGAATGCCCAGGGTGGCCGAGTTTACTCAAACATACTTTGACAACCAGCGCATCTTCGTAGGCCTGTGACTTAGGTCTGTTGTACGTCTGCGCATTGTGCGGGATCTAGATCGTTAGCTAGTTGCACACCTGGAGGGGCGCACCCACTCACCAAGGCGCAATCGCGGACAAATTCGGAAAAGTGTTTATATTCCCGTTTGTTGATGCGCGCTTTCAAAATACTCAGGGCCATCGGCTCCTTGATGATATCGTAGTAGTCGGGAACATAGCGCTTGTTGACACTGCGATGGAACAATCGCGACGGGTCATGACCACTGCGCAATATAACAATTAGCCAGCTATCACTGTATATGTCAGGGTCAATCGCACTCTTCTTCTCGGTAATCATAGATTGCCATGACCACATCCATCATCAGTTTCCATGTTTCGCGGGTGATCGCACCGTCATTCTCGATGGAGTTGACGGGTTGTTCACGCGGGGGTTGCGATAGCTCTTTCTCGGACTCCATGTCGTTGGCGACAAGCGCGTTTCCACGCAGCGGTAAATTTGACAGCCGTTGAGATCAAAGAAATCGAAGCAAGCAAGCCAGAATTCAGGTAAGACAGTAGGGAAGCCCTGGAGAGGTCGGAGAATGTTTTACGAGCGCGTGAAGCTATTGCTGACTCAGCGAGCATTTGACGTTACATACGGTAATTTCATGACAATTCATTTGGACATCTTTTCATGAGAGAGAATGTGTATTCAAATGTTTGGACTCAATCATGTCATTTCTACTTGCATCTCTTCTATGGGGGTGTCTGTGCTATAGCTGCCTACTGTGGCTGGGGGTTGAAGTTGTCACTCTGGCCCAATGTACAACATACTTTCAAGTTATGCTCCGTACTCCGTACATAGCTCTGCAAGGCTATGGTTGCTATGATTGGCTTGGTACCTGGGTACAGTCTCATCCCCGTTTGCAGTCGTTGTGACTTCAAAGTTTTGGATGAGAAGGAATAAAGAACTGATTCATATACCAGTTTCACCCCTTTTCAGGGCCCAAAAAAAGGGAATCTGATACCATTTGGCTTGCCACCACAGACTGCCTCAGGTATACTCAGGTATACCCCACACGGAAAGTCGTCATATCTTCCTATCAGTGGAACTTCCAACTCTGGAAGGTTCTTTAAGATTGTTCACCTCACAGTATCCTAAGCTTTTTTTACCTCTTTGGGACTTTATCACAATGAGAATTCGAGTCCGTGGGCCTTCAGGCCAGTCAACTGTCACGTTGGGTGACACGGCAACTATCAAAGATCTCCAAACCCAAATTGCGGAGAAGACCGGCCTTGCTACGTTTGACGTCAAATATGGATACCCTCTCAAACCACTCGAGCTTGACAGCTTTCAACCAGACCAAAGGATCCTAGAAGTTGGGATAAATCTAAATGGAGAGTCACTCATCGTCGCGCAGAAAGAAGGGGCCACCCGGGGCGTGAGCGACGATGCGACAACAGCGCCATCACAACTATCACAGCCATCGCAGCCATCGCAGCCATCGCAGCCATCAATGTCGCAAAGACCACACGAGAACACCGCCGATGACCCACCAGAAATCGCTTCCCCAGAACATGCCGGAACGTTCGTACTCCGGGTGATGCCTGACGACAACTCATGTCTTTTCCGAGCAGTGGGCGCTGCAGTCATGGGCGATATGGACACGATGGTTGAGCTGCGATCGATCATTGCAGGAGCTATTCAGTCAAATCCAACGGAATATACAACAGCAATTTTGGGCAAAAAACCGGATGAATACTGTACCTGGATCCAGAACGAGGACTCGTGGGGTGGCGCCATCGAGCTCAAGATTCTCAGCGAATACTTCAATATCGAGATATGCTCTATCGATGTACAGACTCTGCACATGTTCCAGTTTAATGAGGGAGCACCGACGCGGTGTATTGTGGTGTACTCGGGGATTCACTACGATGTCCTTGCCCTGTCCCCCTCTCGCCCACCCTATACTCGTGCCAACCCACTGGCGCATGACGACACAAAGATCTTTGAGGCTGTTGATCCGGTTGTTTTGCAAAAAGCTAAAGAATTGTGCCGGGTGTTGCAGGGCAAGCACTACTACACAGATACTTCTGGGTTTACCGTTCGCTGCAACATCTGCGGAGGCACATTCACTGGAGAGAAGGGTGCTACAAAGCATGCATCGGAGACTGGGCATTACGATTTCGGAGAGGCGAGCTAGCAAACGTTACATATAGGATAGATAGGCATACTGCGGATTGGTTGAAGTCATATGAAGGCTGCTTCATTGTCATGAATTAAGTGGTATGCTATATGGCATAAAACTGATCTCACATATCGTACAAATAATCTTGGGTCTCATAGCATGGCAACCTCATCTGCATCATCTTCCTCCTCCTCCTCTCCTGATTCTGCGCTTTCTTCTGGGTTACCTCCCCATTCCACATCATGGTGAATGGGATCCGTGAAGAATTCATGCTGCAGGGCGTCCGCGGCACTGAGCCGCTTAGACGGGTCCAATTCCATCAGTCCAGACAAGAGGCGTGTTGCTTGCTGCTCGCTTTCCGTCAAATCTTCCACACAGCTGGACCATTTCACCAGCTTCTCCCAGCTGTAGCCTTTCTCGCCGATGGTGGGGATATTTGTTTCAAAAATCTGTCCATGCATGGCCGCGGCGGTTTTCATGCGTCGGGTGCCGAAGATGCTCGACATTTCGATCATCGCATCGATATCGTCGGCAGAGTTGAAGAAGGGGAACCGACGTCCCAGCAGAGTCAAAAGAATGACACCCACTGACCACATGTCAATCTTTGTGGTCTGTGATGTGCATTTCAAGAGAACTTCCGGGGCACGGAAGCCTCGAGTTCCAGCGCGGTTCGCTCGTCGTGATGGCCGTGAATCATTCTTGGGGTAGCCGGCTGAAAATCCCGTGGATGGGGGGTTCTTGGAGTAGTAGCTTGAAAGGATCCGGCTTCGCCGGACGTAACTTTGGTGAGTACATAGACATGGGCTGCTGTATTCTGAACCTTGGCGCTGTTGGGACAATCAGTAAGCGCATCAACATATGGCAGCCAAGAATCATACCTCCGCAAGCCCGAAGTCAACCAGGACACCTTCTTTCAGATCTGGATTGTAGAGAAAGTTACTTAAAGATGTTAGTATAATTCAGGTCATCGTGAATGATACACTTACGTCGGCTTGATATCACGATGGAGGATATCATGTTCATGTACCGAGTTCAAGGCGGTCATGAGGGATCGTAGATAATGGCGCATGTCTGCAACCATGAATGTGCGGTATTGGATGCGAAAGTCGGTATGGGGGAAATAGGGCAATACAGCGACCACTTGGTCCTGGTATCGGAAAGCAGTGATCAGCGGGCAGACAGACCCGCATCCTCGGAGATCGTGCAGCAGTTCTAGCTCGTTCTGGATCCGGAGTGGGCTACTCGTTACATAGATCTTCTTCAATGCGACGAATTTCGTTTTTTTCCGTCCGGTTGGCTCGCCTTCAACTCGCCGTCGTTTGGATGGAGGCTCCGCATAGTTGTCTTGGGCTGGTGTTAAGACATCCCAGTCGTTTTGGTGTGCGTCATAATGAAGGTCTTCTGCTTTGTAGACTGTGGAGAATGTACCTATGAGGTCCGTCAATCAAGAATCCCACCAATAACAGCGGAACCAGTCATACCTTCTCCGATCCTATTCACCAGACGAAACCGATCCGAGATTCCTGGGAATGTGTCTTCGAGCTTTCTCATATCCTCTCGGACTGATTCGTCCACCTCTTCCTCATAGTCACTCTCCTGGGGTGCATCACTTTGTGAGACTGGTTCATCATCCTGTCCCAGCGAGTATTGTTTCAATTGTGGCTCTTGGAAGGAGCTGCTGCGCTTCAGCTCAAATACGCCCGGGGCAGCGCGGAGGGCTGACATGGTGGCACGGAAGACAATGAGGAGTTTTTGACTTGGACCTATTGAGTGATAAAGTGGAAAAGCAAAGTCATAAGATCGTGTCGCGTGTTAGGTCAAGGTCAAGTTCTTTCAATGTTTATCGCAACTGCCAAAATATCCTTACAATGCAAACATGCACAACAATTACCACTCGGTGACAAATATGACAATACGAACGCTGGGAAAATCGATCAATACAAGGCGGTACGGTACATAATAAAAGGGTCTTGCAGCACTAGCGGTAAAATATGACTGCGTGGTTACATAAGTTGAACCAAAAAGGGCAAAAGCCAAACAAATGGAGCTTATCAACAAATCGGCTTTCCTCCCCGCTTTCACCTCTTTTTCTCTTTTTAACACCCGCGACAATGGAGGACAGAATACAATTCAACATAAATGAATCGCTCAAGTATTACTTGAGTGATCCCGCTTCGATCCCGACTCCTGATGCGGACCCGGAACTCCTAGATTGTGAATCGGATCCTGATCAACTTTCGCCAGCGCTGATTGACAGCATCTTGAATCCGATCGTGGATGCCGTGGCGGAGAACCCCGAAGGATTAACACGAGCATCATTATTTGACTCGCTACAATTTTTACTAAAGTGCGCCCCGGTCCCTTCCCAACTTGCCCATGGAGGCTGGCGCCCGCCTGGACTCGAATCTGACGATCCTTTTCACTCTTGCAGATACGCGACCCTTCTTCCTGCAAAGTACTTGAGCAAACTTTTGGATTTGGTTGTTTCTGGTCTCTCCGTTGAGGCAGATATTATCCATGGAGACCTTGAATCCGACGAGCAGGATGCCATTCAACACCACAAGCAGCTTCTGGAGATGTACGGGTTCCTTCTCCAGTGGGCCTTGTCTGCCGTAGAGGTCAAGGCTGCAGAGAAGCCCACTGAAGCAGCACCCGTGCGACGAGGAGGGCCAAAATCCAAGAAATCCGCCAACAGTGGCCAGTGGGATTGGACGCCGCAGATTCAAATATCCATGGAGACCATGTGCAAAGTGATGAAGCTCAAGCTAGGACGCATTTTTTTGACTACTTCGGATCGTGACACTTTTATTACCCTATTCACGCGCACAATTTACCTGGTTCTTGAGAGCGAGCAGCGGGTGAAGAGTATGGCCATTCGCATGCATGCTTTCAAGGTTCTTTGCATCGCAGTCAAGCACCATGGCCAGGCGTTTGGTAGGTGACCTGATGCATATCCCGGTTGAGTGATAGCTGACTTTCGCATAGGGGCTCAAACTTCGATTGTGCAGAGCTTGACTTACTTTGAGCATCTCTCCGAGCCCATGGCCGAATTCCTCCATATTCTGGCAGAACAATACGACTATCCACAGCTTTCCGACGAGATCCTGAAGTGAGATTATATCAGCGAACTGGTCGGATAGTTGCTAACTTGACATGCAGGGAGCTCGGAAACAAGGAATTTAATTCTAATGATACGAGAGGTCCCAAGTCTGTATCGACATTTATTATCAAATTGTCCGAACTTGCGCCCAGATTGATCATCAAGCAAATGACCCTTCTGGCCAAACAGCTAGATAGCGACGTACGTAACACTTTCGGTTTTCCCAAAGCTCCACTAACAAGTACAGGCATATACTCTGCGCTGTGCAGTGATCGAGGTCTGCGGAAACCTTATTTCCGATCTCAGCCGACAGGAAGAACGCAGTGATAATTATAAGACCCAGATCAACGCCTTTTTCGACGTACTAGAAGAAAGATTCCTTGACATCAACCCTTACTGCCGCTGTCGCGCGATACAGGTATTCATGCGAATCTGCGATCTGGAGCAGAAGTTCCCGAAGAGGCGACAGGCTGCAGCGGAACTCGCCGCCAGAAGTTTGGAGGATAAGAGCAGCAATGTGCGACGCAATGCGATCAAACTTCTATCCAAGCTTGTTTCCACACATCCTTTCAGTGTTATGCATGGTGGGCTCCTCTCATACAAGGAGTGGACAGATAGACTGGACTCTGTCGACGCCGAGTTGAATGCCCTGCGTCCTCCTGAAACGCCTGGCTTTGAGGCAGGCGACATGACTCAGGTTGACCCTGAATTATTGGATGATGCTACCCAGATTCCAGATGATTCTCCATCGAAAGCGCCCAGGATGAGTGATGAAGAGAAGGCCGTTGCTGTGCAGAAAGCCGCAGAACAGGCGGCCACCTCTGAATTGATGACACGCCTCCAACTGACGAGGAAGTATTACAACGAGGCCATCCGGTTCATTGAAGTGCTTCACTCCGGATCCACCATCGTCACACAGTTACTTTCATCCCGGAACAAGAGTGAGGTTATTGAAGCCATGGATTTCTTTGTTGTTCTTGATGCGTACAAAATCGAGACTGCCCGCGGTGGGATTCGCCGTATGCTGCGCCTGATTTGGACCAAGGGCAACAGCGACGAAGGAAAGGGCGTTCAGACACATCTGATTGATTGTTACAAGGGCCTTTTCTTCGATGCACCGGGCTCTTTCACACCCAACGATGCTGCAAACTACATCGCCCGCAACATGATCAGTTTGACGTTTGGTGCAACTCCTGCAGAACTGACCTGCCTCGAGCAGTTGCTCAGCACGATGATGAAGGCTGGAAACGTATCCGAGGCAGTCATCGCCAAGCTATGGCAAGTTTACAGTGTCCAGAAGAAGGAAATCTCACGGACTCAGCGCAGGGGTTCGATCATTGTCCTCGGAATGCTTGCCCTGGCAGATGCAGAGGTCGTGGTGAAAGAGATTGAGGCTATGCTGCGCATCGGTCTGGGTAACTTAGGAAGGGCTGACCTTGTGCTCGCCAAGTACACTTGTATTGCTTTGCGGCGCATGATCCCCGGACGTCAAGCCAAATCAAAGGAGGTTGTTGGCATTCCTAAGCTCGCCAGCGACCACTCTGTTTTGGTCAAGCTGGTCGCCATGCTTGAGATCGAGACGTCCAGTAAGGAATGGTATGGAGTGGCAGAGCACGCGCTCAACGCCATTTACACTTTGTCCAAGCATCCCGACGTTCTTTGCTCTGATATCCTCCGACGAAAGACCAGATTCGTCTTTGCGCCACATCTTCAACAACGCCCACCTTCCTCCCATGCCTCTTTCACCGGAGAAGAGGAGCAGCAACGACCTGGGACTGCATCCACTGAGGGGCAGGAATCCAAGCCCAAGCCAGCATCTGCTGCACTCTCGCAGCTGCTGTACGTCGTTGGTCACGTGGCAATCAAGCAGATCGTGCATTTAGAGCTGTGTGAACTCGACTTCAAACGCCGTAAAGTCGAACAAGAGAAGAACAAAGCAGCCACTGCCCCTCAGAAAGAAGACAACGCCGAAGAGGACGAACTAGATCTCATTGGCGGAACAACAGAAGACGACTTCCAGGATGCTATGGCCCATATCCGCGAACGTGAACTACTCTATGGAGCGAACTCCCTCTTGGCCAAATTCGGCCCGCTAGTAGTAGAGATTTTGGCCAACAACAACTCCTACCCGGATCGTGACCTGCAGGCCTCTGCGACCCTTTGCCTTGCCAAGCTCATGTGCGTGTCTGCCGAGTACTGTGAGAAGAACCTGCCACTCCTCATCACTATCATGGAGCGGTCCGAAGATCCTATCGTCCGTAGCAATGCTGTGATTGCGCTGGGCGACATGGCCGTTTGCTTCAACCACCTCATCGATGAGAACACCGATTTCCTCTACCGTCGTTTGAATGACGACGATGACTCCGTCAAGCGCACCTGTCTTATGACCCTTACCTTCCTCATCTTGGCTGGTCAAGTCAAGGTCAAGGGACAACTGGGCGAGATGGCGAAATGTCTGGAGGATGATGACAAAAAGATTGCCGATCTGGCTCGCATGTTCTTCACGGAACTGGCGACCAAGGATAATGCCGTGTACAACCACTTTGTTGACATGTTCAGCCTGTTGAGTGCAGAGCGCAACCTGGATGAAGCGTCTCTCCGCCGTATCGTCAAGTTCTTGATCGGTTTTGTCGAGAAGGTATGTTTTTTTCTTTCTCTTTTTAATTTCTAATGACCTATGCTAATGTTGGCCTAGGAAAAACACGCTCGCCAGCTGGCCGACAAGCTGGCCGCTCGACTTCCTCGCTGCGAAACAGAGCGACAGTGGAACGATGTTGCATATGCCCTGTCTCTTCTGCCGCATAAGAATGAGGAGATTACCAAGACCGTCAGTACAGGGTTCAAGGTCGTCAGTGCCGCAGCCTGAGGCTGATCTGAGATGGATTATGTGTTGATGTACTTGATGATTGGAGTCTGGCGGCGTTAGTCTTTTGGACCAAAGGTTGTAATTCTTTATGAATAGGATTAATCGTTCTATTGAACCTATGTATGATATACTATTCTGTTCAATTTTGTAATCACCACAATGGAATGGCATTGCAGCTATTCAAACAGATTTCTAGAGAATAATATCTAAGTATGTGGGAATAAGAGTATAACCAAAAAGAGATCAAAACGGAAGGAAAAACAACAAAGAGACGCCGAGTTCAATGGTTTGTATGGTCGCATGCCAGATACGCCAAAGTTGCTTACACTGTCAAGGGAAACATAATTATATCTATGCGCCCTGCACTGTACTTTCTGTCAAAGCGAACTCGCCCGAGCGGATTCCCTCCAGAACCTTTTGTCCCTCTTCCGTGAGCTCCGGCTTACCCAGCGGCGTCACCGCGCCAGTGAAGAACCGGGGGTTCCACTCAGTGCCCTTTTCGATGCGCTCCGCAGCCCGCTGCCGTTGCCGTTCCTCAATATCCTGCTTGAGCTTGGTAGCCTGATTGAACTGCTTATCGACAATGGCGTTCGTGACACCCGACCAGAACTTCAACGACTCGTTGGACAGCTGTTCTTCGGATGGAGGCAGGTTCTTTGGGACGGGTTGAAGCGGAGTGATGTCGATGAGCAGACGGGGCTCTTTAGTGTCCGCCGGAGTGAAGTATATCTTTCCATGCCAAGAACCGGTGATGCGAGT